CTCGTTTAAAGTTACATCATCTTTTTGTAAAGTAGCAACATCAGGAGGAAGCTGAAACTCAACTGGTTGCATAAGTTTGGTTTGATTTTCTGTCTGTTTGTATACTGTGCCTTTCAACTTTTCCCTTCTTTTCTGTGCTTTTGATTTGACTGGTTTCCCTATTCCTGGTTTGAGATCTTCACCCCAAAAGGGCAACTCTTGTAAAGACTCTTGAGCAGCCTTTGCTCTGGTAATAACCATGTTATAAGCAACAGGCGCCTCTACTTTCCCAGGCCAGTTTACAGGTGAGTTTTCTGACTCATGCACTAAATCTATCAATATTGGCAAATCATGACCGAGAATCACATCAAATGGTAAATTTGGGGCTAATGCCACAGGAATTAGAAATGTTTGACCTCCAACCGTTAAATACACATCTGCCATAGGATACTGGTGTTCATCCCCATGAACACCAATGTGACCAGTGTGAAAAGACTTTTTTTCCGTTTAGCTAACCTCACTGATCACTACAGAATCCACACTGGAGATAAACCATTCGTCTGTGGAGACTGTGGGAAGACGTTTACTCACTCTTCCAACTACAAAAGTCATGAGAGAATCCACACTGGAGAGAAACCCTTCAGCTGTGACGATTGTGGTCAGAGTTTTTCTCGAAGTGGTACTCTCAAAGTTCATCAGAGGATCCACACTGGAGAGAAACCTTTTGTCTGTGAAAAGTGTGGAAAGTCTTTTACACAAAGGTCAAATCTTCGTGGACACATTAAAACCTGCAGAGAAGCAGCTCTGAAGCCTCTGGAACAAAGTGAAGGAGACAGAGCTGAGGCTGCATCCTGTGAGCCCAGAGTCAGACTCTACAGGATCTCAGTTCAGTCCGTCCACAAGTGCTGAGACCACTGGAGGATATCGTGTTCACTGTTTAATGTTGTTTATTGGACATTCTGAAAATTCATTTATTGTTTTGTTAATTGTTATTGTTTATTATAAATTCAAATGTGTTGTTGTTTGTGAACACAGTAAAAGTTGACATTTTTCTTGCATCTGTCTTTGATTCTTTCTGTGATGGATTCTTAGTTTTCCTCTTCTACACTTTCTGTGCTTCACCTTTTGTTTCATATCAAGGGTTCACTTGTGCAAAGGTGGATTTCATAAAGTTAGAACAGAGAAACCCTCTTACTTTAAAGGAGATGAGACTGTTGACTTGGTCTTTTCATGTTTTAGAATGATAAATAATAACTGTATAATCACTCCCTATGGAGAGAGACCAGAGGGAGGCTTTTGTTCTAAGATGAGATCAGAGAACCTTATTGGTCCACAGTGGGGAAATGTCGGTGTTGCAGCGCACAGACAGAAGGGAGAGCACACAACACCGAGATAAATATCTGTAAATGCTTCTTAATAAGAGCAATAAGAAGTGTTTAAACCCACAGTAAAATGACTTCAGGCTCTAAAGGATCACAGGTACGTTCACAGGTACGATCACAGGTACGTTTACAGGTACGATCACAGGTACATTCAAAGGTACGTTTACAGGTTGTAGCTCAGAGCAGGAAACATCCTCTTTTTATTAAGACGAACACATTGGCAGACCCAAAGATGCAGGAAACAGTATTTATTAGTGATGGGTCCAGCAACACTGATACACCGGCGCATGTGCCGAGTTCGTTTGGCGAAACCTCGTATCGGCGCGAGTGTCGCTTTATGAAAAAGCCACGTGACCGATACAGCCGCAGTGTCGCTTGTCCCGACACGGCAAACTGTGTTTAAAAGGTTCCGCATCTGCAAGTGTCACCGGTATGAACCGCTCTCAGAAAAAGAAAATAACCCTTTCAAAAAGGAAAAACATCCCATTTTACAGCATCAAAATGGAACCTGCAACTAAAAGAAAGTATTCTGCAGTGTGGTACTGCAAATAACAGCAAATAAGGCAATGTTTGTATTTTACATTTCACGCTTTATCTACAATCAAGATTTAGTTTGAAACGGAAAATCTAGTTAGGCATGGTGGATGAGTGGATAGCACTCTCGCCTCGCGTTTAACGAGAACCGGGTACGAATCCCTGTCGGACCTCAAAGGTTTATGTTGACATCACAGTCCTGAAGAATGATTTCGAGAAATTGAAGTGTAGAAAATGTCAAAGGTTTTTTCAAGTATACTTTAGTTGCCAGGGTTTACAGTGCACTTTGGACATGCTTATTGTTTTGAAAAAAATAAAAAATAAAATATAAAATCACTCAAGGGCCTATATCACGGTTTTTGACTTTTCTCTGCTTTAAACATGATTACAATGCTATTTGGCCTTCATACACAAGCCCACAGTAGTTTATTCATTGATTCTGTCAATCTTTTGTAAGAGAACAATCTGTCTCCTTCCCCAGCGTGAGGCACAGAAACGCTCGGGTCCACTTCAGTGACGAAAACCACACTGATGACGCGCATGACCCCGTTTGCTTTGTATTTAAAATAGTTGTTAATACTTTTGTCAAAACGGGGTAAACAATACACAATTAGTATGCTGTTTTTCGTCAAAAATAATAAAAATAAAAATAAATTAAAAGCCGGCGGGAGGTGATTGACGGATCAAAACAGCGAATCAAAGCGCACAGGCTACGGCTCTCGAGTCCAGCGTCTGTGGTCTGGTCTCGCGGACACCACATAGAGCTGCTGTTTTTATGCTTTTGTCAGCGACTAAAAGTGTTAGGATCACGTCAACTTAAATGAAGTGTGTTATGGGTGTAAATATGTGACACACTATTTGGCCCTAAGAGGAAGAAAGCGGCTCGACTTTTTTCATCTGTTCATCTCATGGATCTATTATAATACCGGTTCATCTGCGACACCCAAGCCCCGGCGATCCAAGATGGCGCCCTATTCAAATGAATGGTTGTGCTCAGTGGCGCTTTGTGACAGCATGGGGGCTGAAAAGATTAGCGGAAGTTGCCTGAAACTCGCAAAGATCTATGGGAAACTCTCCTGTATTTGGGCATCGTCTGGTCCTCCCGGTTCTGTGCAGTGGATGATCTCCCATAATGCGTTGCGCCAAACACGCGTGTGTGGGTCTCACACCGGGTCTCACGCACGTGCACAGAGGGGCTCGGCCGCGCTCTGACCAATCAGAGCAGTTCATCAGAGCGGGAGTTAGAGCGAGAGCCAGACGAGCAGAGTTTGTGGCACTAAAGTGTGGATTTAAACAAAACCGAAGGATTTAAGAAGAAAAAAAGTTCAGGATGACAAGGGACACTAAAATCCCCACAAAATCCGATCTTTATTAAAGCTGTAGGTTCTCTGTCAGGTTCTCTGTCAGCTGAGGTTGAGCTGTTTTAATATGCATTGAGTTCTATGGGGAAAATTTCTGGGTAGCCCACGTGAATTTAGTCTTGTTCAGTCTGTAGTACCGCGAGAATCCCCTGAGCACGTGAGTTATTCAGCTACAAGCTAGTAATACCCAGTGTTGGGCACGTTACTTTGAAAAAGTAATTAGTTATAGTTACTAGTTACTTCTCCCAAAAAGTAACTGAGTTACTAACGGAGTTACTCCACTGTAAAAGTAACTAGTTACCAGTAAAAGTAACTATTGCGTTACTTTTTCGTTTTGTTCTGGAACATAATGTGCACTCGAATGTGCACTATATTGCCAATATTTCCATCTAGAAAAGACTGTTTTGCTGCTGTAGTCCTGTTCACTCTTCATCTCTCTCTGTGCTGTAAGCACTAAACACCAACACCCGCCACTGTGAATGTGGAAACACCGGTGAAGCACTGACTTCAGACCAATCAGATGGACATATATATCATATAAATCAAGTGGACCATTTGTTTGGCTACAGCAGAATATGTTTCATGCCCGCATTGTTTGTTCAAACAAAACGCAAAACTATGAGTTATGGGTCTTACCTTATAAATGACCTGCACAGCCCACTTCGGTTCAGACCAGTTCCGTGTTTAAGTCCAGATAATAGTTTGAGCGTAGATATGTAATCCTCCATTTGGAAATGAGTCCAATTAGTTTTAAAAAGTAAAACAAAACGCGTGTGTCCTCCATAAACTCCTCTGTTTTGCTAGCGGCAGCCGGGTGCATCCAATTTCTAAAATCAACCGTCTTACACTTCACCTCTTTCTTATCATTCCTATAGTCATTGAAAAATTACCCTAAGTACATTTTAAATTATCTTAAAATATGTTATATGTATGTTAGCCAAACCTGTTGCTGTCCTTAGCAGATAAACCAGGAAGAAAAAGGAGCTTATCGATGGAATTGTATGCAGCCGACTTCTGCGCTCACATGTGCTCCTCTGAGGCCTCACGATGATACAAGCCGTGGTTGAGCGCGATTAAGACCCATATTTGTTTCAAAACACAATTTATGACCCATCCTCTCAACTGTAGACATGTAGATTGTAAAGGAAATATGTTTCACATCAGCCAATTAGCCCCCACTGAGAGATCAAGGCTACGCTCACACTCAGAGAGCAGCCGTCCTCCTGTGGACTCACCACCTGCAGAGGGTCAGTGAGGGGCTGGTGCTATGAGACTTGGGTGGCATCTCTGACTGCCACCCCCCTGACCCAGAAATGGATTAAAGGGTAGAAAATGGATGGATGGATGGATCAGCCAATTATTGCTGAGAGGTTTTCTCATCCTCCCTTCTCTCATGACAACACGCGCACGAGTCCTATCACGAAGTAAAAAGAGAAGTTCATTGTGCGTCTTGAGTACTGTACAGTAATGGGATGTCGGAAATGATAACGGCGTTATAGTTACAGTCAAAGTAATTAGTTAGATTACTCGTTACTGAAAAAAGTAACGCCGTTATTCCCATCACTGATAATTACTATATACATTTTTATCTCAATATTTTTCTGATGCAGTTAATTGTCCATTAATCTTTTTTTATGTAACAAGCCTAATTGTCACACGCTACTGACATTCTGGCCTTTCCCTGGTCGAGTAGTGCAGTCTTCCTAAGGAATCAAAACTATTGACGTTTTCATTTATTTTGCAGATGATTCAAACCTACGTGGAACACATAGAACGCTCCAAATTGCAGCAGACAGGAAGCCAATCTGAAGGCACCGGCTGTGGACGAACGTAAGCTATTTTACTTTGATGACAGATTATAACTAACCCTATCATTGCTAGTGCTTTGTTTTGTTTAGACTTTGCTGCGTCCACATATGTCACAACCAGTACTAAATCAGACTTGTGTGGACACAGCTTAAGTGACTGTAAAAGCATAAAAACCTCCAAATTCAGCTTGCTTACCAGTTGTGTGTTGTTTGTAGATAGTTGTTGCATGCTTCTCTCTAACCTCTGTGTCTAATGTCTGGCTCACTTCATGTGCCGCACAGTCAACGCCATAAATGGAGGAAAAGGTAAACTTAACGCAAAGAACCCAGAACAATCCCTAAGTCTTTCCCCTCAGACTAAAATTGGCCTGTTGTGTTGTGCAAGCATTATAACTCCAAAAGTCTTATGAAATACGGAAGTCCATTTTCCCCACTTGCTTTTCCTCATTTGTTGTGACCTGCTTTTGTGTTTGCTCTGTTCTGTGGGATACAGGTTAAATCCTAATATTCAATTAAACTAAATAATTTCTGCATAACCCCAAATCCCAGCAGCAGTAGCATCGGAGGACTTTTCAAAGTTCAAAGTTGTCTTTTCTCCAACCACTGATTACAGAATCAAACAATTCAAACATGTTAAATGAAATAATACACATGTAGAACACGGCTGTAGATCCAGGACTGAGGCTGTAGATCCAGGACTGAGGCTGTAGATCCAGGACTGAGGCTGTAGATCCAGGACTGAGGCTGTAGACCCAGGACTGATGTTGTAGACCCAGGACTGAGGCTGTAGACCCAGGACTGATGTTGTAGACCCAGGACTGAGGCTGTAGACCCAGGACTGAGGCTGTAGACCCAGGACTGAGGCTGTAGATCCAGGACTGAGGCTGTAGATCCAGGACTGAGGCTGTAGATCCAGGACTCAGGCTGTAGATCAAGGACTGAGGCTGTAGATCCAGGACTGAGGCTGTAGACCCAGGACTGATGTTGTAGACCCAGGACTGAGGCTGTAGATCCAGGACTCAGGCTGTAGATCAAGGACTGAGGCTGTAGATCCAGGACTGAGGCTGTAGATCCAGGACTGAGGCTGTAGACCCAGGACTGATGTTGTAGACCCAGGACTGAGGCTGTAGATCCAGGACTGAGGCTGTAGACCCAGGACTGAGGCTGTAGACCCAGGACTGATGTTGTAGAACCAGGACTGAGACTGTAGAACCAGGACTGAGACTGTAGAACCAGGACTGAGGCTGTAGGACCAGGACTGAGGCTGTAGATCCAGGACTGAGGCTGTAGACCCAGGACTGATGTTGCAGACCCAGGACTGAGGCTGTAGATCCAGGACTGAGGCTGTAGATCCAGGACTGAGGCTGTAGACCCAGGACTGATGTTGTAGACCCAGGACTGAGGCTGTAGAACCAGGACTGAGACTGTAGAACCAGGACTGAGACTGTAGAACCAGGACTGAGGCTGTATGACCAGGACTGAGGCTGTAGATGCAGGACTGAGGCTGTAGATCCAGGACTGATGTTGTAGACCCAGGACTGAGGCTGTAGATCCAGGACTGAGGCTGTAGATCCAGGACTGAGGCTGTAGACCCAGGACTGATGTTGTAGACCCAGGACTGAGGCTATAGATCCAGGACTGAGGCTGTAGATCCAGGACTGAGGCTGTAGATCCAGGACTGATGTTGTAGACCCAGGACTGAGGCTGTAGATCCAGGACTGAGGCTGTAGATCCAGGACTGAGGCTGTAGACCCAGGACTGATGTTGTAGACCCAGGACTGAGGCTGTAGACCCAGGACTGAGGCTGTAGATCCAGGACTGAGGCTGTAGACCCAGGACTGAGGCTGTAGACCCAGGACTGAGGCTGTAGACCCAGGACTGAGGCTGTAGACCCAGGACTGATGTTGTAGACCCAGGACTGAGGCTGTAGATCCAGGACTGAGGCTGTAGACCCAGGACTGATGTTGTAGACCCAGGACTGAGGCTGTAGATCCAGGACTCAGGCTGTAGATCAAGGACTGAGGCTGTAGATCCAGGACTGAGGCTGTAGACCCAAGACTGATGTTGTAGACCCAGGACTGAGGCTGTAGATCCAGGACTCAGGCTGTAGATCAAGGACTGAGGCTGTAGATCCAGGACTGAGGCTGTAGACCCAGGACTGAGGCTGTAGACCCAGGACTGAGGCTGTAGACCCAGGACTGAGGCTGTAGACCCAGGACTGATGTTGTAGATCCAGGACTGAGGCTGTAGACCCAGGACTGAGGCTGTAGATCCAGGACTGAGGCTGTAGACCCAGGACTGAGGCTGTAGATCCAGGACTGAGGCTGTAGACCCAGGACTGATGTTGTAGACCCAGGACTGATGTTGTAGACCCAGGACTGAGGCTGTAGATCCAGGACTGAGGCTGTAGATCCAGGACTGAGGCTGTAGACCCAGGACTGATGTTGTTGACCCAGGACTGAGGCTGTAGACCCAGGACTGATGTTGTAGACCCAGGACTGAGGCTGTAGATCCAGGACTGAAGAGGCTCCCAAGCGGGGACGGGGGTGAAGTTATAAAGAACCAAAAAAGCAGTTGAAAACGTTTTCAGCTTTCAGCCCAAAACGTCAAACAGTGACTGGAAAAAAAGATGAAGAAAACATGTTGTGATCTGGTTTGTTCACATTATAGTATTATTGATTATTGAAGGACCCCAGGTTTAAAAATCAAGAACATTGGAGCCCATAGTATTTCATTTACGAAGAAATGTGTGAATGAATGTTTTTCCAAATAAGTGTCTGCTTTGTCCAACCCATTTTCAGACTGTTTATTCCTGTTTGTTTTAATATACTTTTTATTGTTTTTGTCTTGGTTTACTTAAGTTTGGAAAATAAATGAAATCTTATTAAAGCAGGAAGTTGGTATTTGAATCCAACTGGTTCCCAGCCCTCGACACCGCAATCAGTCAATGATGTTTATTTTGTATGTGTACATCGACAAAATAACAACACAGTTTTGAAAAGGGGTTGAGTGAAGCAAACTTTCCTCAACAGAGACAAGACGATTGGAAACAAAAAATGTCAGAAAGAACAATACAAAAAGCATTAGAACAGTAATACTTATACAATATATATATACACCGCGCTGAGGAGCAGGAGCAGGACTGGGGACTACAGGAAGACCACAGTCTGAACCAGTCGCAGCGGTGCACACAAGCCACAACAGTTTATTTCTGACTCTAAATAAAAGTAATTGCCATGTTATACTACCAGTTATAAGATGTTGGTGTAATAATTGTTCACCAAAAAATCTGTGGGACAGTGAGGCTTCGAAAGTGAGCTGCATTATAATGATAGACCTCTGTTTATTCATATTCGCCGGGTGCCATTTTGCAAATCAACCTGAAATGTTGCATGGTGGCTCCTGACACATGGGGGGAACTGGGAAAGAAAGATTTTGGAGTTTGCTACATGTGAGTTTCAAAAAAGTGATTTGACAATGTAAATGGTTTCAGCACCCCTGAGACCAAGCGGGGCCGAGTTGGGAGTGGGCCGTATCAACTCACTATGGCCCGAAGTAAGTGACCACATAAAATAAAAGTTACAAAAACATAGCAAAACACATAACATGGAGGGGGTCTGGCTCCCGGCGAATATGGTCGATGCAAGACTACTATACTGGGTAAAAAAGGAAATCAAAAGGATATTTTATATTGCTGTTTTGCATGTTATTATTCATCTATTTACCCTATAACAAGTTTAATTTCTTTGCACTGTATATCTCATATCTTTTGACGTCCCAACCTTCATTGATTTTGCCTGTATTAGCACGCGCTTGATATAATAACAATTTAAACGATTGACCATACACTGCTGATTCACTCAAACAACACTCTTTTCCTCAACAGCAAAGCGGACCGGCCTCCTTCGCTGAGCCTGTACCCCACCGGTGAAGGCATGGTATGTGGGGGTCCTGGGGGGGCTAGGATGGTGCCCGGCAAAGACATCTTCAGCCGTGTCCTTCAGGTGGGACAACATGGGCCTGTGTACGTGTCCGTTCAGCCCGGAGAGCGAGGGATTCAAACTAGCTCTCCTCACTGCCCGCGCTTGCTTGTGTCATGCTTAACATAAATGAGATTATAAAGATAAGGATAAGTGAGTGTGTGTGACCCAAACAAGCAGCGGCGCTTTTTTGTCCACAGTTTTGGTGTGGCAGTCCGTGTCCTTTGGTGTCCTCTTTGGTGTAGCTTGTATCGGTTTCCAAGCATTCTTTTTTTGGCTTTTTATTGATGCTTTTTTATTCTTTGGCTGTGAATCTCAGATCTGTTTTTATTGTTATAGTTATCCGTATATAAAGTGGACAATAGCAGGAGCTCCAGTCTATTTTTTCAAGTCTAAGCTTTTATTGGTGCATCAAAACTATCAACAGAATTATCAATACATAATTTTAGCATATACATTTTACACACCCAGGCAGAAATGTCTTGGGGTTTTTTGCCCATATTTTGTCCGAATTGTGAATGATAATGTAAACACTTTCGCTTCACACTACCCTATACTGTACACTGCTAAATTTATTTTCAAATAAACGTGTCTCTTCTCAAATGATAATGACAACAGAAAATTCCTCTTCTGACCCTAATCAGAAGTCTCCATCTACTAATTCTCAATAGTGTTCAACATCTATGACAGCTTGATGTCTTTTGTGGTAGTTGTGGATGAGGTTCTTTCTCCTCTCTGATGATAAAGCTACCCATTCTTCTTGGCAAAAATCCTCAAGTCCTGCCTGACATGAACTGTGCCCCAAGTTTATTTGACTATAAATTACTTCACACAACCACTAACAATAAGTGGGAAAAAAAAGTGTTTTGTGCTAGCATTTATAATCTCCAAAATATGGCTTAAACAATAACTAAATATATTGAATCCATAAACATCTGTAAGTGATTTGACATTTGTGTCTGACATACAGGTGGAACTCTGAAAATTACAATATTATTCAAGTTATTTATTTCTATAGTGTGAATCTTTTTTTGTAATAATCAATCATGTTTACTTTACTTGCTATATCTGACTTTGTGAGATAAAGCATAGCAGATGAGTCGGTCATATTCGTTACACATTGTAAGTTGAATTACAGAAGTAGATGGACTTTTGAACAATATTCTAATTTTCACCTGTATTATGAAACCACTTTTTGTTGCATTTGGCTCACACAAGTCTTTTCATACCCAACAGGAGGACGGATCAGAGTCAGACTCGGTGCCCGCCACGCCCAGCAGCACAGGGAGCAAATCCAACACGCCCACCTCGTCTGTGCCCTCGGCCACTGTCACTCCCATCAACGAAGGCTTCTCCCAGAACTCAGACTTCGAAATGCGCACAGGGAACCTCCGCAAGGGGGCCAAGAGGCTGAGTCGCAACATGGAGGTGCAGGTCTGCCAGGAGACCAAGAACGTCAGCATTGGTGAGAGACCCGCAAAGGCCGATGAGTGCTGAGCCAAGATGGGCCATGACCCAAAAGTGACTTCTATCTTCAGGATGCTACTCTTTTGTTTTTTTTATCTCTGCAGCCTTTACAGTGATGCGACAAATTAATGTATTTTTATTCTGTGAGAGTGCAAGAACATATTTGGACACAGCCTGATCAGCACAAATTCCTACTTCCTGATTTGTTTATGTGAACAGCACAGAGCCGAGATGGGGGGTAATGTAGGAAATACTCAGGACTTACTTGATATGTTATTTGGGTTCAAGATTTAGTAGGGATGTTTGATCATTGCGAGTCAACAGTGCCGTTAACACCTCGTCATTATAACATCGTGGCTTATAATCAAGTTTGCCTGGACAAAATGTACCTGGAGTAGGTTTATATACAGGTGCCCTTAAATAGTCTAGCAAGTACTGTATTTTCTTTTATAACGGCAGAACGTGATCACTTGGGAAAACAAATATGAGAAAATATACACATTCCACCAAACATAAAATGTGTCCAGAATGTGGGATATTGATATAAAAAAAGGTACTGACAAATGACAAACTTTTCTGATATATTGGAAAATACATGATGATTCTTGATCATTATACTGAATACCAGTGTGCACGATTATTTACACCATAGAATGTTTTGCGGCTTGAGATCCTGCTCTTTCAAAGCTGCGGAGCCTAACTTTAAAACCCTAAAAATTTGAACTTTTTAATATAATCCATGTAACTAGTTCCTCGCTGGTTTTATCACTACTTTTCACATGCATACTGGCCTCTGTCACATCTTTAGATTTTTGTTTTCTTTATGTCACAAAAATAGGTACGGGAGCTTTAAACACTAGCTCAAACAACACCATCCATCCATCCATCCATTTTCTTCCGCTTTATCCGTTGCCGGGTCGCGGGGGCAGCAGTCTAAGCAGAGACGCCCAGACTTCCCTATCCACACACACTTCCTCCAGCTCGTCCGGGGGGACCCCAAGGCGTTCCCAGGCCAGCTGAGAGACATAGTCCCTCCAGCGTGTCCTGGGTCTTCCGCGGGGCCTCCTCCCGGTGGGGCGTGCCCGGAACACCTCCCCAGGGAGGCGTCCAGGAAGCATCCGGAACAGATGCCCGAGCCACCTCAACTGGTTCCTCTCGACGTGGAGAAGCAGCGGTTCTACTCCGAGCTCCTCCCGTGTGACTGAGCTCCTCACCCTATCTCTAAGGGAGCGCCCAGCCACTCTGCGGAGGAAGCTTATTTCGACCGCTTGTATCCGCGATCTCGTTCTTTCGGTCATTACCCAAAGCTCATGACCATAGGTGAGGGAGGGAACGAAGATTGACCGGTAAATCAAGAGCTTTGCCTTTCGGCTCAGCTCCCTCTTCACCACAACGGTCCGATACAGCGACCGCATAACTGCGCACGCTGCACCGATCCGCCTGTCAATCTCACGCTCCATTCTTCCCTCACTCGTGAACAAGACCCCGAGATACTTGAACTCCTCCACTTGAGGAAGGACCTCTCCACCCACCTGCAGAGGGCAAGGCACCTTTTTCCGGTCGAGCACCATGGCCTCGGATTTGGAGGTGCTGATTCTCATCCCAGCCGCTTCACACTCGGCTGCAAACCGTCCCAGTGCATGCTGCAGGTCCTGGTTCGTTGGAGCCAACAGGACAACATCGTCCGCAAACAGCAGAGATGAAATCCTGTGGTCTCCGAACCGGACCCCCTCCGACCCCTGGCTGCGCCTAGATATTCTGTCCATAAATACAGTGAACAGAACCGGTGACAAAGGGCAGCCCTGTCGGAGGCCAACATTCACCGGGAACAGGTCTGACTTACTGCCGGCAATGCGAACACAGCTCTGGCTCCGGTCATACAGGGATCGGATGGCCCTCAGCAGAGGACCTCCGACCCCGTACTCCCGGAGAACCCCCCAAAGGACACCCCGGGGAACACAGTCGAACGCCTTCTCCAAATCCACAAAGCACATGTGGACAGGTTGGGCGAACTCCCATGAACCCTCGAGTATCCGATGGAGAGTATAGAGCTGGTCCAGTGTTCCGCGACCGGGACGAAAACCACACTGCTCCTCCTGGATCCGAGATTCGACCATTGGCCGTAACCTCCTCTCCAGTACCTTGGAGTAGACCTTACCGGGGAGGCTGAGGAGTGTGATCCCACGATAATTGGAACACACCCTCCGGTCCCCCTTCTTGTAGAGAGGGACCACCACCCCGGTCTGCCACTCCATTGGCACTGCCCCCGATCGCCACGCGATGTTGCAGAGACGTGTCAGCCAAGACAGTCCTACAACATCCAGAGACTTTAGAATCAGGGCGGATCTCATCCACACCCGGAGCCTTGCCACCATGGAGGCTACCAACCACCTTGGTGACCTCAGCCAGGGAGATGGATGTACCCGCCCCAACATCCTCAGCCTCTGCCTCTGTAACAGAGGACGTGACGGGGGGATTGAGGAGAACCTCAAAGTATTCCTTCCACCGCCCGACAATATCCCCAGTCGAGGTCAGCAGCTCTCCACCCGCACCGTACATGGTGTTGGCAAAGAACTGCTTCCCCCTCCTGAGGCGCCGGATGGTTTGCCAGAATCTCTTCGAGGCCGACCGATAGTCATGCTCCATGGACTCTCCGAACTCCTCCCAGTCCCGGGTTTTTGCCTCTGCAACAGCCCGGGCCGCGGCACGCTTGGCCTGCCGGTACTGGACAGCTGCCTCAGGAGTCCCCCGAACCATCATGGCTCGATAGGACTCCTTCTTCAGCCTGACAGCATCCCTTACTGCCGGTGTCCACCACCGGGTTCGGGGGTTGCCGCCGGGACCAGCACCAGAGACCTTGCGACCACAGCTACGAGCCGCCGCATCGGCGATTGAGGCAGAGAACATGGTCCACTCGGACTCCATGTCCCCCTCCTCCGCCGGGACCTGGGAGAAACTCTCCCGGAGGTGTGAGTTGAAAGTCCGTCTGACAGGGGGCTCAGCGAGACGTTCCCAGCAGACCCTCACTATACGCTTGGGTCTGCCAGGTCTGACCGGCTTCTTCCCCTGCCAGCGGATCCAACTCACGACCAGGTGATGATCGGTTGACAGCTCCGCCCCTCTCTTTACCCGAGTGTCCGAGACACGCGGTCGAAGGTCAGATGATACGACAACAAAGTTGATCATCGACCTCCGGCCTAGGGTGTCCTGGTGCCACGTGCACTGGTGGACACCCTTGTGCTCGAACATGGTGTTCGTGATGGACAAACCGCGACTGGCACAGAAGTCCAACAACTGAGCACCGCTCGGGTTCAGATCAGGGGGGCCGCTCTTCCCGATCACCCCTCTCCAAGTGTCACTGGCGTTTCCCACATGGGCGTTGAAGTCCCCCAGGAGAATAACGGAGTCCCCGGGCGGTGCACCGTCCAGTACCCCTCCCAAGGACTCCAAGAAGGCCGGGTACTCTACACTGCTGTTAGGCCCGTAGGCCGTCACAACAATGAGAGACTTGTCCCCCACCCGGAGGCGGAAGGACGCGACCCTCTCATTCACCGGGGAGAACTCCAACACGTGGCGGCTGAGATGGGGGGCAATGAGAATGGCCACCCCAGCTCGCCGCCTCTCCCCGCGGGAAACTCCAGAAAAGTGGAGCGTCCAACCCCTCTCAAGGAGTTGGGTTCCAGAGCCCAAGCTGTGTGTGGAGGTGAGGCCGACTATCTCTAGTCGGTATCGCTCAACCTCCCCCACGAGCTCGGGCTCCTTCCCCCCCAGTGAGGTGACGTTCCACGTCCCAAGAGCCAGATGTTGTGTGTGCGGACTGGGTCGCCGAGGTCTCCGCCTTCGACTGCCGCCCAGTCCTCTCTGCACCGCTTCACCACGGACCCCTCTGCAGGTGGTGGGCCCACAGGAGGGACTGCCCACGTCATCCCTTCGGGCTGAGCCCGGCCGGGCCCCGTGGGCTAAGGCCCGGCCACCAGGCGCTCGCATACGGGCCCCGACCCCAGGCCTGGCTCCAGGGTGGGGCCCCGGCTGCGCCATGCCGGGCGACGTCACTGTTTTCGTGTTAGTGCTGTCCATGGTGTCTTCTGGACTGCTCTTTGTCTGACTCGTCACCCGAGACCTGTCTGCCATGGGAGGCCCTACCAGGGGCATGAAGCCCCAGACAGCATAGCTCCCAGGATCATCCGAGTACTCAAACTCCCCCACCACGTTAAGGTGGCAGTCCAGGGGGGAGAGCTCAAACAACACAAAAAATATATATCTTAGTTTTAAACAAAAAAAATGTACAACTCTGTGGAAAAATTCACCTGACACCTCCTACGTATGTATCAAATTGTATTCATTCTTAGAAGTTGTCAGGGGACATTTTGGATGCTTTGATTTGAAATGATTAAAGTTAAATATTGTGTTAACAGGAATGGGCAGCAGTGAGGAGTGGACCGAGTTCCAGGAGATTATTGATTCCACGCCAGAGCTGGTCATGTGCGTGGATCCGTGCATGTATGGCGGAGGCAACAGGTCAGTCTGCTGTGGGCCACATTTCATGCAAGTCCTTTTGGTCAATAATATGGGGGCGGCTGGATAAAAGTCTTGATCTTGGAACTGAGTGGAGCTTCAAAGTCCGGAAGTCAAATGTGATTCAATTTATTTTTGAAAAGCCCTAAATCACTAGAGCAGTCGTTTCGAAAGACTTGTTTTATTTCTCAACAAATCAAACATTTCGAACAAAGGAAATGCAATAAAAAATGAACACTCATCCATTAAAGGTAATAAATGTCCTTAAATATCCGGAATCATCTCTGTCCTTAGATCCTCCTTTATTGACAAGCAATGGCTCAAAAAAGTGGGAAAACATATGAAAAACCTCGGAAAGGCCGTATTAAGATATGGAGATTTGACATCCAGAGACAGAACAGATTGGCAAATGGGCGGGCTTTGCATCACAGAGAAACCTTTCCCAAAATTTATGTTGAGCCCCAAATGTTTTATATATCGTTTGAGCCTATATTTATTGAAGGATTTGTCCATATAATAAATTATTGATAAAACCAGATATCATGGTTAGTTTTAGTTTGAAAGAGAGGCAGGACTCCCATGGTCTCTGAGATTTGTTAAAAAAAAGTGAAACATGTACTATATTGAATACTCTATGACACTTGGCAAACAACATACACTAGACATACATACATACACACACATTAATTAATAAATGCATTCTTTCATTCATTCATGAACTGTGAATGACCTGTACTACAAAGTAACACACATGTACTTTCCTTCTGTTGCTCCAGTCCTTCTCAGGGCATTGTCAACGAAGCCTTTGGCATCAACACGGACTCTCTGTACCACGAGCTCAAAGATGCCAAGTCAGACGTGATCGGGGATGTAGACGCTGGCGCCGAGCTGCTAGGTACAAAACAAACTTCTCACACCAGTACGACATGACGCGAACGAGGCCGAGGCTTGTGAGCGCTAGAATGATTTGCAGTTGCTTTTGCTGATCTTTGTGAGGTTGTTTTAGTAAAGCTCTGCATGATCTTAGCTGTTGTTTTGTATTGAAGCTGAAACAAAGCCACATTAGCCATTTTTAAGCATTTATTACAATCAGGGCTGCACAATTAATATCAATAGAAATCACAATTTCTGTGGTCACAATTACTATAAAGAACTCAATTATATTGATATGCTGGAAAACTTTAAAATGCCATCTTCTACAGTAGCTCAGTTGGTAGAGCATTGGCCTTAAGGCCAGAAGGTCGTGGGTTCAATTCCCACCTCTGCACCTTCTCCACCGACTCCCACTGATGACTGCTGTCGGTGTGTCCTTGGGCAAGACACTTAACCCCACTTTGCCCAAAGCCCCCACTGAAAGATCAAGGCTATGCTCACACTCAGAGAGCAGCCGTCCTCCTGTGGACTCACCACCTGCAGAGGGTCAGTGAGGGGCTGGTGCTATGAGACTTGGGTGGCATCTCTGATTGCCACCCCCCTGACCCAGAAATGGATTAAAGGGTAGAAAATGAATGAATGAACTCAATTATATAAAACTCTTTGTAAGGGACTAAATATAAGAGCAATTTCACAGAATTTTGGTGAACGTGTCTTGATTTTACAATGGAACAGTATGTTTTGTCTTGATGCCAGGCAATATACTGTATTGTATATTTTACCTTTTTTGCAGTTAATTTTTTATTTCTACTATTTTATAAACGGTTGGATTTTCTAAAATGTTGACAGAATGTTTTATGATGTCATATTTTTTATAACGTATACCGAATCAAACATGAACAAGATAAAAACAGAAATAACGTCTGAAAATATTTTTTTATTAATGAAAATTCGCTTCCCAATTGCAATGACAGAAATACTTGCCAAAATCATGCAGCCCTAAAACACAAAGAGCACCATTTAGAAATATAATGTAACATTGATTTACCACACAGACATTTATATATTTTTTATATTTTTTTCAAATTCATACTTTGTTTTTTCGGTGTTTTTTTACCCCACAAAAGCTCTAATGTGTAATTTTCTGTTCCTTCCCTTTGTGCTTCTGTTGGTGACGCCTGTAGGGGAATTCTCAGGTGTGTATAAGGATTCATATAAGATCCTTTTAGTGATTAAAGCTTTCCACAACTGGATTTATAACACTTGCTTTTTGCCACAATCTTGTCTGTCCTCTCCTTCTTCTCTCGCTCCTCTTCCCACCTCCTCTCTTTCTATTTGGCTTCCAGTCCGTGATGATTTCTTCGGTAAGGCGAAAAAATGGCTGGCATATCTCTCTTGTGTAGCGCTTGTTCTCGGTGGCTCCACTCACTTTTGTACCTGGTCACACATGGCCTGTAGTTGGCCGCTGTCATCCACATTCACTGATGATGGTTTTAACGTTCATATAAAACATATTGCACTGTACACTCTGAGATGAACGTGCACAGAAATAGGTCTTTTTCACGCCCCACCATTTTGTTACGTCCCGGTGTCACATCTCTCCCAACGCTCGGAATCAAAACTCTCAGACGCAGTGTGTGAGCAGAAAAGGGCACATGGAGGTTTAATCTATTGTCACGTTTCTTATGGTCTAAATATTTCCTTAAGAGTACTCTGTGTTTAGAAGGTCGGGTAGTTTGTTAAGAGGATTAATTTCTCAATGACTCCTATGACTTATGACTCATACAGGGGACTTTTAATTCAATTTCAACTATTTCCTTTTCTATCTGAAAAAATGGCTAAAAATATACATTACAGAATAAATTTTTGAAAAACATTGTATATCTGATAATCGATTTTCTTTTTAGCACATCCATCCCGGTAATGCTCTTCAGGGCGCTAGAGGTACCTAGACTAAATATGTATAAACTAAACTATTGGAGACATAATTTTGTTTTCTGATGGATAATATTGAATGCAGATTAGTTGTTATTTTATTTAGGAAGCATTGTGACAGAAAACAGATATAGGAAGTACCTGAAGAAAAGTCACTGGGATAGAGGAGGTGGGGATTAGCGTGAAAAAGATCTATGTCTGCCAGAACAGCTTTCTCATTGGAGTTTGTACTGAGAAGTGTCCTCTGGCACTGCTTGGAACATGAGATGATCATACAAATTTACAAACTTTCTTACATTGTTACAACGTTCATATATTTTTACAATTTTACAATATTACATTTCAATACAATTTGGCGACGCAATTTTTCATCGAGACATACTGTAATAATGTGTAGCAAAGATTGACAAGAAAAAAAGACATGAAAAATGTCCTCTCTCATGCTGTGGTTAGATAACATCATTAAGTCTCTATCAAGCAGAACCGGATGGAATCTGTAGGAATAGCGACATGAATGATGTTCAGACAGTTTTCTCATAGTAAACACTAACCCTGTTAACAGTTTTTATTTATGAATGTCTTTCATGGCTCTTCTGCTTCTGTCTATTTGCTTGGCTGTTGTTGCTTACTGCTTGCACATAAACCTTGTATAACTCCACACTTGTTCTCCCTCACAGTACATCATAAAGTTAAATTTTTAATATTTTATTTGTTGTGATTATAATGTTGATGAGTGACATATTGTGGCTCTTGCAGGAATGGGCAAAGAGGTAGAAAACCTCCTGACAGAGAACAAGCAGCTCCTAGAAACCAAGTAGGTCGTCTTATATCATAACTTTGATAGCCGCTTTAATGTTTACACACTGTTGATTTTTCCCAGAAATGCTCTGAACATTGTGAAGAATGATCTCATAGCCAAAGTGGACGAGCTGTCGGGGGAGCATGAGGCGCTCAGAGAGGAGCTGGAGGCTTTGAGGCAATCCAAGAACAAAGTGGACACTCGGGTTAAGGAGCTGGAGGAGGAGCTAAAGAGGTATACCATCTACACAACACAGCACAACACAAGACAACACAACACGGCACAACACAACACAACACTGATGCTGCTGTAACCCAAAGCTTCCTGTGCAGAGCATCAAAACGGGCACAAAAGAGGCTCAACGTGATAGCCCTGAAGGACGTGTGCATAAAGAGGGCCATTGTTCAAGCACAGAAAATCCTCCTTTTGAATGTGTTTTGACACCGCAGAATTGCACATACAAACAAAGTGAGGCAAACTTTCCCTAGACCTGGAAGACGTGTGTTATATATGCATCTGGGAACAACCGATTTTGGAGATTTGTAAATTTTTCCCTTCCATAAGTGACCAAAAATAATGTCTGTATTTTCATGTATGCACAAATGAGTATGCAAATGTAAAAAAATATAGATTGAATTTTAACGGTTCTAAGGTTTAAATGATATATGGCATACATATTAGTACAAAATGAGTTGATGGCTATAGAACGCAGATGTAAATCAGTTAGAAAGAAATCCCTATTAAATGAAACGACGCACGTCCAGTTCACATTTTGAATCTTGTTTTCCAGACTACGAGCAGAGGCGCTGGGAGCTTCTCGAGACTCCAAGGATGAGTGTGGAGATGACGTGAGCAATTTGTAGTTAATGTTTGTCTTACTTTTTGTGTTCTACATATCCTCAAACACAGATACATTTTTGTCCAGTTCTCATCCCCAATGCAAGACGGCGACATGACCATGACCCAGAGGCGGCGCTTCACTCGGGTGGAGATGGCCCGCGTGCTCATGGAGAGGAACCAGTACAAGGAGAGGCTGATGGAGCTACAGGAAGCTGTCAGGTGGACGGAGATGATCAGGTCAGACTGAAAGCATCACATCAACTCCTCAAATATACTCCTCCCTTTGAAATGATCCAGGAACTTTTATCTGATATATTAACTAAGACTTTATTTCTTTTTCTTTTACTTACTTTTGAAGCTCTTTGGGTTACACTTTATGAATTCTGATTTATGATTACATTTGATTGATTGATGGAATGACATGCCATGATAGTTTTGACCCCTTATTCATGTAAATAAGCAACAGATTGAAATGAGGTGACCGCCTGGGAACGGTCAGATTTGGCCCCGGGCTGCACTTTGCCCAGGTCTGACATAAAGGGGCAGAAAGAAGGTGGACAAGGTCATTAGGAAGTCCAGCTCCATCCTGGCCACAGTGCAGCAGGTGGGGGCAGAAGGGTTAGGATCAGGGGTCCACACTTGCTGCCGACCTCACATGTCATGCAACTGTGAAATCATTTGAAATAATGTTGGAATGTGCAATTTGGGACCACATGTGTCCACTGTAAGTCACCTTTAGCCCAGAACCTTAAGCCTAGCGTACATCGGACTGGCAACTGATTATATCCGTCGCCTCTGAGTTGCTGCCCCGCACACATCGACAATCTGGCGAAAACGGGCAACTCTGAGTCGCAGGCCAGTCTCTTGAATAACAGCGCGTACATCGACAGCAACTGGCCTCAACTACAGTGTGTTTTCTGACAACAAACTGTTGCGGGCTCGCAATACACGCAATACACACACGTTGTTGGAGCGGCGCATGGAGCGCGCACATCGGGGCAACTGAGGACAACTAGTTGCCGAAAAGTAGAACACGGGCAACTGACTGGAACTGGAGACCGACTGATCATCTCCAGTTGTAAGAGCGCGCACATCGACCGATTTCGGCAACTGATCATCTCCCACCATCTCCTCTCAGTTGCCAAAAGCCGCCTTGCAACTAGTTGTCCCCAGTTTCTCTGTCGATGTACGCTAGGCTTTATGCTGCTAACATGTACCGTAGTTGCATCACTGTGAACAAACCTCAGAGTGAAAGAATTACTATCCTAATATTCTTGCACACATTTATCCACAGATGTACACATACAAGTATACCTGCACTAGAGTATACAGTATCTTATTCTGCTTCTTTATTAAGCTAAAGATTGATATTTTATTTTACTAGTACTACAGTATAGAGTTGTGCTATACTTAATATCTACTTATCTTGTGTTGTGTGCTCCTCATCCCAATAGTTCTGTAACTTATGATGCAAAACTAAAATGTCCCCACTGTGGAACGAACAAACAATCTTTTAATAGACAGTCTCTTCGTTTCTACTTCACTTATAAAACCAACTCTTTATGTTTCTGCTTGCTAATGCTGTTGTTTCAAAAATGTATTGTGATCATTTCTCAGGGCGTCCCGGGAGAGTCCACCAACACAGGAAAAGAAGAAGTCCACCATCTGGCAGTTGTAAGTTACCCTGACCAATGACAGCAAAGTTTTTATCAGGCTCATGTCTAAACTAAGTGCTTATTGCTGCCCTGTGTGCCTTGTTATGTGCTCTCAAATTAGCCATTGAGGTCATAAACACAACTTCAGAGTGTCACCCAGCTCCAACAATACAGACAAACTATACCTCATGGTCAGAACCTCTGGAATCTAGTCATTATTTGTCATTACTAGTGGTTAGATGATGTTGTTGAAGTATACAAGCGGCACATGAAAAGCACCCTGTTAAGAAAGTACGCAAAGTAAACATTTGTTACAATTGAAAAATATTGTTTCAGTAATGGATGGCTCTCAAGTGTTCCTGTCTCTCCTCAGCTTCGCGCGGCTCTTCAGCACCTCCTCCAGCCCGCCTCCCGTGAAGCGTCCATACTACAGCGTGAACATCCACTACAAGTCCCCATCCCCCGCCTTCTCCCAGCGCCGCAGCCACACCATGTGCCAGATCTCCACCTCCAACCGCACCCTGGAGTTTTTCCCTGAGGAGTGAGCCGCTGTTCTTTCTGTGTGCTTTCCCCTGACTTTAAGCTCTGGTCTGAATGCCCACTGCTTGCTTCCGCTTGCACGGTCAAAACAAGGGTTCACAGATGCTTCATTGCTGTAGCCAGTAGCCAAGTTGTGCTAGATTTTTAAGATAACAATTTATAATTTCATGCTAAAGATGGCAGTTGTATGGCTGTTAGTCCCTCTCACAAACAAGCTTCCTAATTTTAATCAATTTAAAGCGAGGTTTGTGACTTTTAGAAGTGAAAAAAGTTCACAGAAAGTGTACAAGAAGTATTTAAACCAAATTCGGCATGTCCATACATTTAGGCACCCTTTACAAGGTTATTGATTTCAACGCTTTTAGCACTAATTATTGGAACTCAAAATTAGTTTGTAACCTCAGTGACCCTTGTCCTCCATACATTAGAAAAGATTTTTAAGTAGGCCAAGTGTTTCCCATCTTTGAATCGTCTCTGAAGAGTGGCAACATGAGAACCTCAAAACAACTCTATAATGACCTGAGGACAAAGATTGTTCAACAAACAAAAAACTATCACAGAGATTAGACCCATACTCTGCCTGGACACGACGAAGCCAGAGGAAACTCTGGTGGAGGCCCGCAGCCGTCCTCACGTGCAAATCGGTCTTGCCACCTGGGGCTAATCAAACCTTTCAGCTTTCAGATAGTTAAGGCCTGAAGTGGCAGACGAGACAAAAGTCAGATAAGTAGAGGCGCAGGAGAAGAGTCAGAGTGAACCCACAGATGAGCTCCAAAGACCTACAACATCTGCTCCCTGCAGATGGTGTAACTGTGCATCAGCAAACTTTATACAAGAGATGCTGTAGGGTCGGAATAAGCCTTTTCTCTGCACACGCCACAAGCAGTGCTGCTTGAAGTATTCTAAAGCACATTTGGACAAGCCAGCTTTATTCTGGACTAAGGTGCTGTGGAGTGATGAAACTAAAATGGATGCAGGAAAAAGAAAACAGCATTCTAAGAAAAACACTACCAAGATTAACATTTGGTGGTGGTTCCATCATGCTGTGGGGCTGTGTGTCCAGTGCAGGCACTGGGAATCCTGGGGGGCATGGATTCTACTCATTATCAGCAGATTCTGGAGAACAATGTCCAGGAATCAGTAACAAAGTTGAAGTTGCGCTGGGACTGGATCTATATTAATGTGCGTAGAAACTACTGAAATGCTAAATCAGATGTTCACCTTCAGAGCAGTGCTGACACAATGCAGACAGAAGAGCAGAAATGAGTTAACAACCCGTAGCAGGAGACTACTGTCAAAGCCTTTTCTATCTAAAGAGTTATTCAGTTTAAGAAACACAAAATTTATTTATCACAGGAGGAAAAGTTGGAATCCAAACTAAACATTGTTCTTTCATAATTACCCTGCCTATTATTTGTTTTGAATAATGTTTTTGACAGCTGTTCTTTTGGTGGCTTGCTGCTGGCTGGGTGCGCTGCTAACGCTGGGTCCTCTCTCCCCCCCTCTCCCCCTCTCCCCCTCTCCCCCCCGTCCCCCTCCTCTGCTTTGGTTGCTTGCAGACTGGCCAGTAATGGTGTTGCGTCTCTCCTCAGTGACTCTGCCCTCATGACTCGTAGAGAGCAGAGGCGAGAACAGTACCGTCAGGTCCGCGAGCACATGCGGCGCGACGACGGCATCATGCAGGCCTGTGGCTGGAGCGTGCCGTCCCGCTTCAAACAGGTACAAGCCAGACACCCCAGGAGAGGTTAAAGGAGACGTGTACTGCAAAATCCACAACATTGTTCCCTCATCAACAAGTTTTTTTAGATTCATCCACAATAATTGGCTCACAGATTGTAAAAACCCAAACTAAAACACCTCAGCTAATTAGAATAGTTTGAAAGTGTTTGTAAGCCATAATCAGCATAATTATAACAAGCAAAGGCATATGTCATTTTGCATGTAATGAGTGTATATCAAATAATGGTTTCACATTTTAAGTTCTTAGAAATCTCATTAATAGTATGATAGCATTGTACCGCTATGAGCAGTACATACTCTGTGCAGTTTTCTGCCCCCAAGTTAGTTTTGTTAATTTCTCAGTTGAAATTATGATCTTTGCTATCAGCCAGTCAAATTTTAAAAATAGAAAATAAAAAAAATGAATAAATGAATAAATTTACACACAAAAAATAAGAATTCTCACATAATTTTGACTGGACAAAAATAATGCACGGTATTTCCTCTTTAAAGATGCCCCATGCACCTGGAGGCTATGCCACCGGGTCCACTTCTTTACATGCCATCATCATAATGCGTTCAAATATTATCTTATAATTATAAGTTTAAACCATGAATTTCATCGTCTTCAGAACACAGACCAGATTGGGCCTTTGACACTGTTACAATGTATACAGAACACAACAATTATTTAGCACGACATGTTTCATCCTTTTAGAAAACATACCATGTCACTCTTTGTTGTTTTGGGCTTAGGACTGATTTGCTAAGTGAGGGTAGTCCCCTCTTATTCACGTTTCTGTCTGAAAAAGATGTTCTAAAGTTATGACAGGGGCCCAAAATACATGCATGTGAAAAGTAGTGACAGAAGCAGACTGTGTTGAGAGAGGGAAACTGGTTGGATTTTTTTTACATAATTCCATTTGATTGTGGTTTAAAAGTTAGATATCCAGGCTAGTCTAGGTTGGAACCAATTTCCCCTAAAAGCATGATGAAGGTGTGTCTAACTGTTGAAGTGTCCCACAGAGCGCCGTACAGGCTGACAGTGCTCCGGACAGTGCCCAGAAGAAACCACAGGCAAGTGAGACCGACTGAGTACCTCCGTATGGGCCCAGATTTCACCAGGTTTCTTCCCCCAACCTCCAAAACAGTTACCAAACAAATGCATGGAAATCAATTTCAATTATTTTTTTATTGTTTAAATTGTCATGTTAGGTCAATCTCTACTAATAAGTCTCTCTTCATCTCTGTCTGTCTCAACCTGCCCTTCTATTTTAACACAAAAAAATGGTTTGGGACCAAGTTCAGTCGTTTTTAAAATTTTTATGATTAAGTGTAATTCCTCTTTTAAATCTTTACCATTTAGGCTACCAATGAGAAAGAAGATAACCGCATCAAGAATGTCCCTGTGCCAGTCTACTGCCGTCCATTGGTGGAGAAGGACCCTAATAGGAAGGTATGGCACAAACAGAATATCAAATGTTTTTGGTCCTTTCCCGAGTGAAAATTGACCTGACAAAGACGTAACTCAAGATTCAAGATTAATTTATTATGTCCCCTAGGAAATTTGTCTTGGACTCACAGGCTGCTACATTGAAAATACACATTAGACAGACATAAAAACAAAAACAAAGTAACACAGACATAAACTATCACCGCTCTGCTCCATGGCCTGCATTCAGGAGGTTCACAGATATGGGTAGGAAATGGAATGACTTCTTATACCGGTTTAAATATCTTTTCTTATTTCTAGTTGGTACTCTGTAGCGGCGGCCTGATGGGAGGAGCTCATATTGAGAGTAGAGGACATGAGAAGTGGTGATTTTCCATGCCTGTCTAATACAGTAACTGTCAAATATCTGCTGCAAACTGTAACTCATAATTAAAGCCACTCATTGCCTCAAGACTGGCAGTAGGCCTATAAGAGTAGCCCGCTCAGTTTATCACCCATCTGTCCCACAACAAGGTGTAAGCCAACAGATAGATTATTAATAACCTAAAATACAGTCTATGGTTTAGTCACATGGAGTCAGAAAGGAGCATTTGTGTCTTGTCAAAAACAGGATGTGGAGCATGTGATGTGGCTCCATGGGCTCTTCCATTTTTCTGAAGTTAATACTTAAGTCACACATACTTTGTTGCGTGTAAGCACAAACCGTGGAAAGATCCCTATCCCACGGTTTAATCTCTGTTTGCTGTTTGTAAAGGATTAGAGAGACATGTTCAGGGCACGTATCTGGAAAAGCCAAAAATTCAAATAGTTTAACAAGTTGATGTGGTGTAAACATGTTCATAGCGAGACACAAGGGACTTACCGCACTGATGTAATGTACGGTGACAAGCGACTTCACAGCTGATGTAACGGCCACAGACAAAACAAACAAATGTGTAAACTAATCCAGAAAGTGATAATTCCACTAAGAATCGGCGGTTGCATGTTTATCAGAACGCCGCTACAGCCACATCATAAATCATACGTGTTGTATTTCTCAACAAAAAACCCAACATGTGAGTCACTATTTCACTTTTTGGGTTTTCGAGCCGATGAAGGTGGTCCTCTTTTGTCTGAAAACTATTATCTAAAGATGTGACAGAGGCCAAAAATACATACATGTGAAAAGTAATGAACCAGGTTAGGTGCTCCAGTTTTAATATGCTGTTTGTGCTTGTCCAGTTGTGGTGCGCAGCGGGAGTAGATCTCACCGGATGGAGGGCGAGCCAGGAGGCCACACTCAAAGCCTTAGCGAGCAACGGAGACCCACTGAACGCAGAGGAGGACGGAGCAGACAAGAGGAGCAGCCCAGAGAAGAGAAAGGTGCCTTGTTCTACCCCAAAGTGCTGACATGAAATATCACTACATGTTATGAAACACTGAGTGCGTTTACAAAGCATAAGAAAATGGAATACGTTTTTAAAAGCCAATACAAGTTTGGCTTTTCCCTGGCCCCGTTTAGACAGAGACGCTCCAAAGCAATTAGCTAAAACGACCAGGCTCCTGCACAGTGTTTAGATGGCGACAGAAAACAATGTAGTTCTAGCGTCCGGCCAGTACTGGGCAGTGGAACTTTACAACAAGACGCACGTGACCCTCAGCAGTATAATCATTTCCTCAACAACATCCTCCTGTGGCCGGCGAAAAGACGTGAAAGAACCAACATCATTCTGCATTTAACAGCATGGAAACTGAATCTGTGGTTTCATTTGGATGAAGACGAAGTAGAATTTTCCTCACACAGCCATGAAAAACGAAAAGGCCAAACTGATCCCCAACTCTACCGTTTTATTGTCGCAGCATCTCCGTCTAAACATGGCCTTAAATGCATCACTTCCCGTTGTCACATTCCAATCCGATCGATGTGTTTACACGCAGAATGCACTGGGTTTGGTGCGCAAAGGTTTACTTGTGTCTTTGTCAATCAAATTAAATTGGAGTTGGTGGAGAATATGGTTTTTACTGTCACTCACTGTGTTGTGTCCAGCCGAAGGAGCTGCATGAGACAGATGCCTTGAACAGCCGTGTGTGGATCCTGACCAGCACGCACTCCGCTAGTAAAGTGGTCATCATCGACGCCAACCAGCCCGGCTCCCTGGTCGACCAGTTCAACGTCTGCAACGCTCACGTGCTCTGCATCTCCAGTGTGCCAGGTCAGACTGGGTTATTTATGTTTTATGTTCTGCCTCACACGGTGGCGGCATGGTGGCCTTTCTGCGTGGAGTTTGCATGTTCTCCCCGTGTCTACATAGGTTTTCTCTTGGTGCTGTGCTTTCCCCTACACTAAACACATGTATAATAGGTATGAATGCAATTGAGTTTGTGTACAGATGGTGCTGGTCGGAGGCTTTGATGCACCAGTGTGTTCTGCGTCTTGCTTCCGTGATCACTGTGTGTGGAATGAAAAAAGATAACTTACTTACTGTCTGAGTGAGTGTGTCTTGTCCCTTAGTTAGTGAGTACTTGCTGGATTATTAAGCGCACCTGTTTATAAACCGCTTTCTTCACCCCCCTGGCAGCGTATCTGTTCTGTTCCACTCTGGAGGCCGTTCTCAACATTTGCATTTTCACCTGAAACACCGTCTCCGTGTAAAAAGGCCAATCCAATAGCCAACTGTATTGTTTTACTGTCATAGCGTCTCTGTGTAAACGGCCCCTGAGTGATGGCTGAATGTGAACGGGGCAGAGAGGGACAGAGCAAGCTTTGGATTGCACCGTAATTGTCTGACTTTCTGCTGATCCGTTTTTTAAATAAATCGCACAAAAGACAAAAGCTGTTTCTCTCTGACCCATTTATTGAAGTATAACATTTCCATTACAAAGTTCATATATTGGAAGCATCGCTATAAAGGTGGTAGAGTTCACAGAAGTTCAAAAAAGTAGCAGCTAAAGTCCAGCAAGTACTCTATGATATTGAATTGTTTTATGCTTATGTTTTGCTTTTGTGTTGATCTTTAGGAGGTTTCTTTTTAATGGATGAGGGAGGTTTGGATATAATCAGCTGGATTTAATTATACACGACCTATCTACTGGGGTTGTTGCTTCTGAACACATTTCATTATTCTGACTGTGACTTTGTTTTCCTTCAGCGGCCAGTGAGAGCGACTACCCTGCAGGGGAGATCGTGCTGGACCCAGGAGACGGCTCTGTGGGGGAGGACTCAGGCGGCGTGGAGGGGATGCTCGCCGGAATCACCCTGGTGGGATGTGCTACCAACTGCAGCGTGGCCCGAAGCAACTGCTCTTCCCGCACCGACACGCCGATCCAGGACAAAAGCCAAGGTCTGCTCCTCTTAATCATCTTCTTTTGTCCTCAGAGTAATCCAGGAAATAGGATTAGTTCTGCTCAAGAATTTAGAAGATTTTAGTTTCCAATATAAGATGGAGGATTGCTTAGGATTGAGTTTACACACCTGGACAGAAAAGGTTTTTTTTTCTCCCATATTTTACTCCTTGGTCATGGTTATGTGAAGGAATATATTGTACGATGTAAGGTGCTTTATATTTTCAAATGATAATGACAACAGAAACTTATTTTCTGACTCGAATCAGAAGTCTCCATCTCCCAGTTCTCAATACCAAATAGGATGAGGTTCTTTCTCTTCTCTGATTGTAAAGCTGCCCATCCTTCTTGGTAAAAAGTGTTTGTAAATTCCTGGGCCGCCTTTCATGAACTGTATGTTTAAGATTTCCCCAGATTGACAATATATAAGAATAGGAGGAGAAACATAGTCAGACAAGACAAGTTTACTCACAATAGTAACAATAAAACAGCTTGTTTGAACATCCATATTTCAATAATCAAAGTTCAATGATCAAAATGAAAATAGTGAGAGTGAAACAGCAAACCATCATTAATAAATATAATATAGCACCAAGTAGCAACACCACCACTTATGTCTGATGAAGTCCCACCGGGCCCACTGTCTATAATGACTGATACATTTCTTTTGTAATTGTTTGTAGCACCCGTGGCTCCTCCTGTCAGTGCTAAAATGCACCCGGCCCAGTCTGCAGAGGAGGCCACAGAAGCCACAGAGGTGCCAGAGTCCACACCCAACCACAGTGAGGGCTCCGGACCCCCGGGACCCTTCACAGAGCACGTGTTTACAGACCCCCAGCCGCGCTCTGCTGATGCCTCCGACAGGTTCGCACAAGCTTCACATCAATGATTTGTTTATGACTAACTTTGTTTATGAATTATTGTATGAAAAACTCTCCACAGGAGTTCAGAACGGTCCAAAGAGGAGACGTCGCATTCAGCCGAAGAACATGGAGCTGACGAGGCCAAAAACTACACCAGTGTCGCACCGTCCATGTGGCTCGGAGCACAGAACGGATGGTAAGCGTTTAAAGCTGTGGTACCTAACTTTCAGAACTCAAGCAATGTACTGGAAATGCACTAGTTATCACATGCATGTTTTATTTTTGACCTGTCACAGCATAGTACCAGCTAATTAAAAAAAAAAAGTGTATGATTTAAAATGTGATTATTCATAATATTTTATTCTGTCACTCCAGGCTGTATGTCCACTCCGCTGTGGGGAACTGGAAGAAGTGTCTCCACTCCATCAAGCTCAAAGACTCAGTTCTCAGCTTAGTGTAAGAACCACCAGACTTCAACGTTTACGAGAACCATTTTAGCAAACATTATATTTAACATGTTTTGTAAATATCAAAATCCTCTGTTCATCACATGTGGTGTTTGTCTTCTTTCTGCTTTCAGTCACGTTAAAGGCCGTGTGCTAGTAGCTCTGGCAGACGGGACGCTGGCCATTTTTCACCGAGCAGAAGGTCAGTGAGTACAGATGGATCATAGTCTATATACTTTTTATTTTATTTTGTGTTTGATCAGTGAGATTTTTTGGAAAAAAACCAAATGACAATGACAAAGGTCCTCAAGGATTTAACATTTTTCTTGATACCTTAAATCAGTGGTTCCCAAAGTGGGGGTCCCGACCCCCCGGGGGGTCGCGGGAACCCCTGGGGGGGTCGCAAGATGATTTCTACACAAACAAAAAAAAAGATTTTTTTTTTTTGAGCAAATATAAAGCCCTTAAATATTTATTTAGCATTTGATTTGATTCAAAAGGACTACTTGTTAAATTGTGTTTGGAGACTATAATATATTTTAATAACGTTAGTAATTTTGTCCCAGTCATTGCAGCGTCAATCAAAATCATCACGTAACACAGCTCACATCATGCACAGCGGCAAAGCGTGTCCTGCTGTTGTTTGCTAAAACTAAAGGCTGATGGTGCGAAGAGAGGGAGAGAGGGAAAAGGAGGGGTAGAGGGCAGAGGAGGGAGAGAGGGCAGCGGAGGGAGGGAGGACAGAGGAGGGAGAGAGGGCAGCGGAGGGAGGGAGGACAGCGGTAGAACAGCGCGTTAAAGAGGCCCGGCTTTTCGGAGTCAAAGGTAAAGAGGTCCGCACATTAAAAGCGGGTGGCCGGTTTATGCCTTTACTGACAGTAACTTTGGAAAGAGAAGCTGCGGGGATGAACCGCATAAAGTAACAGCAGAAAGCGGCCGCCCGCTTTTAATGTGCGGACCTCTTTACCGCTGACTCCGGAAAGCCGGCCCACTTTACCGCGGTAGGAGAACAGTGAGGGCGAGCCGCAAGAAATGCGCTCCACTTCTGCTGAGGAGGGAGCCCACCAAGCCCATCACTGTGTCACTACATGAGTAAAAATATGCAAGCCTCCTTTTTTGGGCTGGACAGTGCAGCTCGGTAGTGGCGTGAGTCTCTAGAAAGCGTTACTCCGTATCAAGGAAATACATGCTCATTTCATGTGACGGAAGGGCTGTTGGGGGGGCGGGGGTCGCGGGTTAGCAGGGCATTTATGATGGGGGTCGCGGGCTAAAAACTTTGGGAACCCCTGCCTTAAATAACTGTCACAATTGTGTTTGTGTATTCAGGGCCGGTTGGTTATGATAATCTGCTCTCCACCAATAAAGCTGGAAATAATTGGGAAACTAAGATGAGCAACATAATAACCCCTCTATTGAAGTTTCTTTCTTTTTTCATCATTTGAAAAGTAACTGTCATTGACTTTACTCATTATCAATGTGTGAGATTGTTCATCAACATTCAATTGTCTGGTTAAACAGCAGTCTGGACGTTATTTGACTTACAACATGTGGTTTATAAGCAGCTTTACTAATAATGTATTGATTTTCTTGTTGCCTTTTAATGTCAAGAATTAGAGCCGTATTTAATCTGACACAATAGAAATACCCCCACAGACTCTTTAAAGCAGTTTTTTTCTGTACCGACAGACGGTCAGTGGGACCTGTCAAACTACCACCTGATGGACCTGGGCCGGCCTCATCACTCCATCCGCTGCATGGCTGTGGTGCACGACAAGGTGTGGTGCGGATACAAGAACAAGATCCACGTCATTCAGCCCAAGAGCATGCAGATCGAGGTACGTCTGGTATCAAAGCAAATGCTACTCAGAACATCCAATTAGCCAAACCTAGTGTCCCCAGAAAGCAGGTCACATGTGCAGATCATATATGAACTTTTCTGAACTAAAGATTATTCTTAATCAATAATATAATTTGTATATTTATGATTTTAAAGCAGATTATCTAATCAGAGTAGAATGAGGCCATCATTTGGGTTGCCAGTTTGTTAGGTAAAATTTAGCTCTAAATTTAGTCTTTTCACAAACAGAAAAATAGCCTGACACTTTTATTTAAATTAAAGCAGATACAAAAAAAAGTAGTTGTACGAAAATACACAGAGTTTGCACAGTTAAAACCTAACCTAAATCCCAGAAGGTTGTTTGCGTCTGTAATCAGTGATTTGGATATGTCACAGGCAGGAAGATTTTGGAAACTGTTTCATTCTCTGATCTGAAATTTAATTGAATTGGCAACAAAAGTGGGATCGTAATGACTTCATTAGACCCATAAGAGGACATATTTACTTTTAGATCACCGTTAATCGTAGAAAGATTACCAGTAAGGGAGTAAGTAAGTCTGTGTGTATATGTACTTGTGCTGCAGAAGTCGTTTGACGCCCACCCGCGCAGGGAGAGCCAGGTGCGGCAGCTGGCCTGGATCGGTGATGGCGTGTGGGTGTCCATCCGTCTGGACTCCACGCTGCGGCTGTACCACGCACACACGCACCAGCACCTCCAGGACGTGGACATCGAGCCGTACGTCAGCAAGATGTTAGGTGAGGGTCAACACAGCATCAAGAAGCCAAGCATTATCTGGAAATTGTACTTTTTTCAAGGTTCTATGCTTCTCAATGTTACTGGTTAAAAAAGGAGCCGGGGCTATCTGTGCTTTAACCTGCATGTTAAGAAAAGGTTTTTCCACAGACACATGGGATGGGACTCCTCCGGCCTCCGCTTTCTCACATCGACACAAAATGTGCTCCATAGGTAACGTCCTCCAGCGCAGGCCGAGCCGAGCTGATTTAACCTCTGGAGATCACTCACGCAAATCAATATAGTTTTGTACGGACTAAAATCTCAACAATCTTTGATAATAAATCTTTGGAATAGAAGCTGGGGTATCTTTAAAACGACAACAATAGATCATGTATGTAATCAATTCCATGTACCAGGTATCCGTGTTCCTGGTTTCTCTGACACATCTTTAGATCCGCTTTTTCAAACAGTAAAGTGAAAAACATTTGACCACTCTCCCCTCATTTTCACAAGAAATTCTTGGGTTTCATATGACGTCAGGGCAGTGGCGCGAATAACAAACGTAGGACAGGACGTGACGTATCCTGGCGGTGCAGTCTGCCGGGTTTTATACACGGAGATATAGTAGAAGAAGAAGCGCTGTCAAAATGCCATCTTTTTGTGCGGTGTATGGTTGTAGCAACTGCGCCAATAGAGAGAAAGACAAGAGTTTCTTCTGTGTGTCAACTGTGGTCTCATATAAAGGAGGACACTTTGAAAAAATCACTGGAATGAGGCCGAGGTGGATCAAGGCTTTCCCAGATAAGCGCCCCCTGCAGGCCACCCGAATGAAACACAACAATTTCTTCTGTTTTTTTTTCTCCAAAAATGCCCAAAATCAAGATTCTTTTGAGAAATATTTTTTAGTACTCCCTTAAAATTGAGTGTCCCCGATTAAGACATTACAACAACCGTACACTGCAAAGGATGAGAGCCTTTTGACTCCAAAACAAAAAAGATTTACATGGTTTTCAATGGGAGCAATACTGAGTTGTCCCACCTCTGCTCATTCGCCCCCTACTGGGCAGTTTAATGAAACCCAAGAATACAATGTACTTTGCGAAAAAAATATATATATATCATAATCCATCAAACTTCTTCCTTGCTTTTTTATTTGAATTTTACTCAACCAGGGAGAAAAATCTCTTTATCTCTTTTCTAAGGAAGACCTGGCCAAGAGCACCTAATAGACTACAGCCCGGAGTGTTAAATAGTGACTCACAGGGTTCAAGTATGGTCTGATTTGTTCACAACATTTTGCTTTTACATGACTCTGTTGGGGGAAAAAGAACAATGATAATTATTTATAAAACAAAAAGGTTAGGTACCCCAGCTTTAATCAAATGAAAGCTTGCCCCTGTGCTATGACCCTCCTTTTTCAGCAAAGAACAACTACACACATATGGTTTTGAAGATTGAAATGAACAAACAGTTGCATTGAAAGGATGGGTCAAATGCAGAGGGCCTGAACGCACTTGTCTGAACACTAAATCCTGCTAACCCAGTGTTATTTTCAGGGACTGGGAAACTTGGCTTCTCCTTCGTAAGGATCACAGCTCTACTCATCGGAGGAAACCGGCTCTGGGTCGGCACTGGGAACGGCGTGATCATTTCCATCCCTCTAACAGAAAGTAAGTTCATAGCATGGAGTGTAGACTGGATACAATTCAACACTTGGAAGTTGTGATTTTACTCTATTTAGGTAAAAATCATGTCAAATGTGTTTTTTTAATGACTGTAGTGTGGAAGATTAACCTCACAGAGATGGAATTGATGCAGACCAGAGCCACCTGAAAGTTTATTCTCAGTTTTTTCAGTTTTTCTCAGGCAGAACAAAGTCAGGACATGGTTTATATAGTCATTGTTACGTCACAGATACGTCAGACATACAGTAGAAAGGCATACATGTCGCATCAAGAGACAATCAGAACATATTAGTCACAACATGGATACACAACCTGGGTCCCTGTGACTGTGAAGGCCAGATATTACTAGAAGAAGAAGAAAAAAGTCCTTTATTCGTCCCGCAATGGGGAAATTTCAGTTTGACACATACACATCAAGGCAAGCAGCGAACTTCACTTCCGCGCTCCTTATAGGCAAAGTGGGTTAAGTGTCTTGCCCAAGGACACAACGTCAGCAGACATCAGTGGGAGTCGGTGGAGAAGGTCTCGTGGTGGGCTCGAACCCACGACCTTCGGGCTCAAAGGCCAATGCTCCACCAACTGAGCCACTGTCGTACTAGGGGTGGGCGATATGGCCTAAAATTCATATCGCGGTATAATTTGGGTCATAGACGGTAGACGGTATATATCGCGGTATAATTTGGTGTGTGAATTTCAATATAGGTCTAGCAGGTTCTTGCATAAAATAGTCAAGATTGTTAATTATTTATATATTAGAATCTAATATATATATTTTTTGAGTTAGAAAATCAGTTGTGAGACGAATAAAGAGACAAATAACATACATTATTTATGTATGTTACAGTAAATACCATTCACTGTAAAAGCAATTTTTAAAAAGAAAAACATATGCATTCATTTAAAATATAAAAAACTCACAAATGTTGAAATCAAAGTCTGTAGGAGTTAGACATGGTCATTATTTATAGTGTCTGAGAGTTTTGTGCAGGTGCATGACTTCAGTAAAAGCTGTTTGTTTACAAAGCTGGTCTTGCCATTTGTTGACGCTCCCTAAGTGCTTTTCTCTGCGCTGGATGATTCAATGGATTTATGTTCATTAAAACAGCGCATTGGATTTGAACAATTGATGTAAATGATCATTTTGGCACAAATAATTTTGTTTAACAAAGTAGCTTTCGTGAGATATTGACCGCGGAGGTCTGAATCTGACGCTAACTTTCCCAAACTTCTGATATGATGATGCGAACACGGCACACGCATGGATCTATTTTGGCACACGCTGGCGCTTCGAGCCTACGCCCCTTTGACACTGATTGGCCAAAAGGTAGACTCTTAAACTGTGATTACTGTGTGTGTATTTACCTCTGCTGGGGCCGCTGTGACAACAATACATAGACAGAAACACTGTGTTAATGCCGTGCTGTTGTTCGCTGTTTCCAGTGGTGTCCAATAGTGCTAGGCTAATGCTGCTGAATGCCGGTTTGTTTTGGTCCTTTCTGCTGGCGTCAGAGCCTGCGCAATTTAATGACATAATGACCTATCGCAATATGCCGGTATAACAAAAATCTCTACCGTGGGCCGAATTTATACCGTCTACCGCTTATACCGTTTATACCGCCCAGCCCTATGTCGTACTGTAGTATATTTTGTCTTGCGTTTGTCCACCTGCGAAGGCCATAGCTATCTATCCACCATATTAGTAGTCAAAAGTCAAAAAAAAAAAAAAAGTATAATCCAAATGTACAAAATATTACGAGCTGCATTGACCACTTACATGTAAACACTTGGGGTAACTAACTTTCAAACAAACCAATACTCTACTACTTGAAAAAGCGGATCTATCGCTCTCAAAACTGGTTGGTTCTGTCACAGCGCTCTTTCTTTCTAAGTATGCAAAACAAACAAACTGAAGACAGTCCTTTATATTAAAAAACAAGTTCCCTGACCCACACTTCCCTCCTCCTGACCCCGCGCGAGTGCCCTCATCCCATGTCCAATGTATCAGCTCTGTCCTGTGCTCTCCTCCCTCTGCCTTCACTTAGCCGTGGTCCTGCACCGGGGACAGCTCCTGGGACTCAGGGGTAAGTGGGATTGCGCTGGTCTACATTTTCACCCACTCAATCCTTGGTTCCTCACCCACTTATTTAAGTTATGAGAAAAGCGTTTGTCATGGTTTGGCTTTTTTACTTTTGATTTTGACTGTTTTAACCTTGCACCCACTCTGCATAATACTGTGGCCGCTGAGATACACAGGTTTATGTCTTTGATGGATTTCTTTCTCATTTCAGCAATTTTTTCTTTATTTTATACATTTATCAAATATTTCTGTTGGAAATTTTGAAATTAGTCAATTTTATTTTCAATTCTTATTTACTTTTTCTTCCTCAGCCAATAAAGTGTCCCCCACGTCCTCTGGAGGTGTGATCCATGTGTACGGGGACGATGGTTCGGAGAAGAGCACTGGCAGCTTTATCCCCTACTGCTCCATGGCACAGGCCCAGCTCTGTTTCCATGGACACCGCGACGCCGTGAAGTTCTTTGTATCTGTCCCAGGTGCGTGTCAAACCTTTGTGATCGTAATGATTTAATATTGTCCAGCATCAGATTTTTGTAATTTCTTAAAATATTTATTATGTGTATATATATATATTATTTATAGTGGGTTGCAAAAGTACTATCAGTAATACAACTTCATGTTTTTGTCATGTTTAAGACATGGATGTATTGTATTATCTGGAGTATTGCTGCTTAAACCCGCCTCGAGCATTGACAAAGAGTGTACAGATTTTCCCCCTTAGACCTCCAACTAAAACAGCTTGTCCTCCGCTGACAGAGAACCTGCAGTTCTCACAAAGGTTGGGTTTTGTGGGGATTTTAGGCATCCTCAACTTTATACCTTTGAAACACTTTTGTGCAACATACTCTGCTCGCCATCGCCCCCCTCTGTTCACTGGGGGAGGTAAATCTCTTCCTCGGCAAAGCCCTGTATCATTGAAATCAGTGAAAGCAATTCATTTTAAAGTTGTTTGTTACTTTATGGTCTTCCAGACAAAAAAACTAAACATATTGCTCATGTTCATGATGACAAAGGTTTAAGTTTTATTTAGTACTTGTGCAATCGACTGTGTAGTGTAGATTTCAAAGTGTGGTTCTTGTTTTGCTGCTTTATGTCCAGGTAATGTATTGGCCACGTTGAATGGCAGTGTGTTGGACAACCCCTCGGACTCGCAGGGGTCTGGGGCCCCAGAGGCAGAGACGCAGAGTGTTCAGAACGTCCTGGTGCTGAGCGGAGGAGAGGGCTACATCGACTTCCGAATTGGTAACTTACACCAGAAAGACGACTTTTGATTTTAACTTAGATTATGTTTTATTCAATGTCAACTTCTATTGTTGATGTCAATATCACCAAAAAACCTTTAAATGTCAACCCGATTTCAATTTGCTTCTATGCAACTAAAACTGCGCCAAACAAGCACCAACACTCAAAACTACATTGAATAGACCAAATATATATAACTAATGCCAATTCATTTATGTGTATGTATAGCAGGGGTCTCCAGCCTTTTTCAATCGGAGAGCTACTTTTGTACAAAAGAAGAAGCAGAGAGCTACTCCTTTTTACTAATAATTAATAATCTAATAATTACGACCACACATGGAACACATGTAAAATATATCATAGTATTGTACAACCCTATATTTTACTTATAATATGTAATAATAACTGCAATGACTCAAAATGTATTCTTTTCAAGATAATTTGTTACATTCCAAATGCTTTGGCGAGCTACCTGAAAGGGGCTGGCGAGCTACTGGTAGCTCCTGAGCTACAGGTTGGAGACCCTTGATGTATAGTAACAAGAAATACTATAGATAACTCTATAATTGAATCTACTTTTATTCCCCTGCACAATATGTGTATCGTGAATCCATAGATTGCCATTCAAACGTTCAGGGTCACTTAGAAAAGTCTCAATTTATTAAAAGTTTTTTTTTCCATTGAGGATAACGTTGAATTAATCAGAAATAGTCTAAATCTAAACTTAAAAGAATTAGTACTGATGTAACAGCAAACACCTAACATAGATGCACTTCCAATAACTATCACTCCAGTGTTTCCAACCCGGGTACACGAGGGACAACAAGGTTGAGAACTACTGCTCTAATTATTTGAAAAAGTAATTTCAGAAACCACATTGGAAAACATGTGCAAAAATCCCCAGTGTGAATCCGACAAGTGCACAGTGTAATATTTCTGTCAGCACAAAGACATTTTATATTTCCAAATATATGTCAAAATCCTTCTCCAACTTCCTGAATATTCACAACCTATAATTGACCGAGACAAACACGTGAGAGTTTATTCAAATCTGTCCACCATCACAATTGCTTCAAACCCTCAGGTGACGGCGAGGACGAGGAGACGGAGGAAGGAGACAGCAGCCAGAGCACAGAGCCTAAGTCGTCCCTGTGCAAAGCCGAGCGCAGCCACATCATCGTGTGGCAGGTGTCCTACATCCCCGAGTGACCGCAGCTGCCACCGCTCCCAACATCAGCCTACCTTTCCAACCAATCTTCCAGCTTTCCCTGTATTTATCCCAACCTGTAAAAATCCCCAAAGATGTGTAACTACCACCCCCCTGCTCCAGTCACCTTGTAAGTTCAATGCTTTGTAAAAAAAAATACAAAATACATTCTTGGATCTTGTTATATGCTTGCCATGCCGTTTGTCCCACATAGGGCATTCTAAGTACGTTCTCCAGCCTTGTTCCGCGCCTAAACTACCTCCCCATGTTAAAACAAGTCAAACTAGCTCTTGATTATCCTCCATCTCTTCTTGTTCCGACTTCTGTTGTAATCTTTCACACTTCTAAATCTAAACATTTTCTCAAACCTGGTTCATCATAATCCCATTTTTTGCTTGGTCTTGGCTCGGTGTTACAATATGTTTGCACCAGATGTCCAATTTACTAAAAACTTTGAAAGATTGAATGTTTCTCTATCAATAACAAAGTTTTGGCTCCTTCTGTTTCATTACGTGATTAAAAATATGTGAATAAGATTATCTAAAAAGGTCGAAGCTTTAGTAGCATCATTAAGTTATAAGTGGTTGGCAGGAGGAGCAGGCCTAAACTTTGTGAAGGAGGTGAACCGTTACATTGTACAGGAACAAGGATTATTGTACATTTACATACTCAGCCCATGTTTAAAAATGTATGCATTGATTCTGTGGATTCAATAATAAACGTTTGTGCGCTGAAACTGAACTTCCTGTTTTTACAGATGGCTATATTAGGTTATACTTTATTGCCCCCATATGGAAATTTGTCTTCAGCATTTAATCCATCCTTCACTCATTGCCTGCCAGCCGTTATTGATCGTCAATAACGGCTGGCAGGCAATGACCAGCAGAATATTGTGTGTTATGACTATGTGAAATATGAAACCAGATTCTGAAAAATTGGACTGTCTACTTTCATCAGCAAAAATAAGTTTGTTTCTAGCTATTTTTGTTCTCCTGTAATCCCCAGTCGAATGCAGGGAAGTTTGACAGAAATCACCAGTCTCAGACAAATACGTCAATAGTAGTCAATGAGTTAATGTCACTAGGGATTTTACCGATTGTACCTATGTTTTTAGTGGTAGTGGAAACAGGTGGGCCCGAACCCAGGACCTTCTTGTCGAGAGAGCTCCCCACTCAGCCATCACATGCATGATTGTAACACAAAAAAGGGACAAAAGCAGATTTTTCTTTACAAAATTGCATGATTTTTTTTATTTTATCTGGTAATTTCAGTAAAAAACAGCATATAACACTTAGGTACATGAAACCAAATATTGCATTTTTTGTTCATTCTTTGCGGGTTCAAACTGGTATGGTATTCTCACTGGACGGCTCTGCTTTGGTTAAGACCTCTAAACAGCCAAACCTGAGTGTGATGGACTTTCCTAAGGCTGTGGTCACGTTCAGTCGTAGATCCAGTTGTTGCTGCAGACTTCCCGGTCACACAGCTCCGACTCTTTGAACCACAGTGAGATCTCCCTCTGCGCACTCTCCACGCTGTCACTGCCATGGATCACATTCCTGCACAAAAGAACGGCCGCGTCAAGTCGCTGAATATTAATGTAACCTTTTCACAGTTATCGCAGTAAATCCTTTGGCCCTGTCCCCATACTCGCACTTCCACCCTCGCGCCCCTCATTTGCGCGATCCCGATGATGGGTGCGAGTGCTTCTTCAGGGAGGTCTTTGGCCCCGCCCCCTGTGCGCCCCTGATCCACACTTTGCCGTTGCCTGCATCTAAGCGGACCGAAGCGGACTCTGGCGAAGGACATTGCCCATAATTCTTTGCGGTACACACCAAAACGCGGGAAAATGCATTTAAGTGTACGTTTTGAAATATATATGCAGTGTGTGTGTAAATAAGTTTTGCTGGAAATGTTACTTGGAAAGAAGCATAAACGTCTGATGAAGAATTACACACATTCTATGGTAATAATTTCGTAACTTTAAAATGCAAGCAGTCATATAACTTTCAATTTAAACTTTACACTTAGTACGATTAACTTAAAATGTATAAAAACTGACCAGATAAGTTAGTTACCCACAATTAACTTAAAATTATACAGCTATCTCAAATTACGAATAACCAATATACATTTATTTTAACATGTGCGGAGCAACTCATCGGACGAAATGACATTTAATTTTTTATAAAGTTTAAGTCTGAAAATGACCATCTCTTGACTAATCGATGACGTAACCTGCACTGTCCCAATTCCGCCTTTCTGCTTGTAACTTGCGCACTCCAACCCTTGCGTGGACTTCAAACAAATGCACACTTTGTGGAGGAGTGTAGGGTGCAGTGTGGGTTTTGGGACAGGGCCATAGACGTGCCCTTGATTAGCACATGGTACTGGTGAAACTATGGAAAATTAGAACATCATTCAAAAGTCCAGTTACTACAAATAAAGTAAGTAATGTTTATCTATATAGCGCATTTTACAGACCAAGGTCACCAAAAGCGCTTTACAAAGTTCAGAAACCAGATATTTTTCCCTTCACACACAGTGATGACGGAAGCGAGACGCCAAACACACTGGTTCATCAAAGCCCCCAATCATTCATTCATTCATTCATTACATTCAGACCTATTGTACATGTTTTAGTGGTAGGGGACACCGGAACACCCGGAGGAAACCTACGCAAGCACGGGGAGAACAAATAAACTCCTCAGAAAGGCCCTGTTCCGACCGGGATTCAAACCCAGGACCTTCTTGCTAAAAAGCAAGAGTGCAATCCAATCAGCCACCGTGCCGCCCAAATAAAGCTAATGTTGACAAACAAAAGCTTGGCATCTGTCACTTTATACTGAGTATGTGACATGCAAAGTGCAAGAATAGTAAGAATAGGAACCGTATACATGATAGTCAAAGTTCCATCCATCCATTTTCTACCCTTTAATCCATTTCTGGGTCAGGGGGGTGGCAATCAGAGATGCCACCCAAGTCTCATAGCACCAGCCCCTCACTGACCCTCTGCAGGTGGTGAGTCCACAGGAGGACGGCTGCTCTCTGACTGTGAGCATAGCCTTGATCTATCAGCGGGGGTTTTGGGCAAAGTGGGGTTAAGTGTCTTGCCCAAGGACACAACAACAGCAGACATCAGCGGGAGAAGGTGTTGAGGTGGGATCGAACCCACGACCTTCAACTACCAACTGAGCCATTGTCGCCCCACTATTCTAAGTTGAACTACTGAAATAAACATGGAAAAAAAATTGTAAATTCTAAAGCAAAACAAAAAATTCTGCTTGGGTGTCATCATTCAAAATCTTCAAAACATAAAACCATATCCGGGTGTGTGAAACTTTCGAACACAACTGTAATAATTATGTGGTAGTACAACATTAGCACTAGAGGCACTCTGATTGGCTGTTAAATATTTCAGAGGTCATTGTCTTTCTCAGGGCCGGTGGTGGTGGTTAGGAAAAGCCGTCAGCTAACGACCCATGCGATCCCTGTTCACTGCATAATTTACTTAAGTATGTAAATGAATGATAAACTCCAAGACACAAACAAACCGTTGTGTTTAAGTGATCAAATACAAACCTCTGGTAATAAAACACTGTCACCAAATGAAGCGTTTGGTTTGTATTTGATTCTTATTTAGCTTTTTCAGACATACACAAAACCATCAAATAATGAGTTGTGGCAATTGCGCAAAATATAAAATCCTTCCCAATAAGATAAATAGGTTGTGGTCTGATTCAGAAGTGGGCGATATATCGATATTTACGATATATTGAGATATTCTTTAAGATCGATCTATTTCACTTCTCTGCCGTCGCTTCCTTGTTTCTGCTCCTCCTCCCTTGCATGTGTCTGATTCCACACAGCGGCGGCGGCGGTTTAGCTAGCAGCAGACTGTAAACATGCTCGGAGGAAACTTGTCTGAACAGCTGGAGAAGAGAATATGACAGAAGGTGGTGTAGCGTCAGAGTTCCTACAGCGGTGACGTGGCACCTTTTGTCGTCATTGGACAACGTGGCTTTATACCAGAGACCGTAAACTTTATACGCAGCTAAAAACAAAAACACAGATACAGATGATGGAGTCGAGGAATTACTTTGCGATACAAAAACTCCTGCGACTGTGCACTACGGAGAGAGCGGCTGAATTGGAACAAGTTACTTACTATTAAAGACCTTATGACGGGTTTAAAATTTTTTTTTTTTTTTAAACCCGTCATAAGGTCTTTAATAGTAGTAACTTGTGGATATCAAAATTGTATAAGAGATTCCGGCAAAAAAAATCCTATATTTTATAAAAAGAACGTGTTTTTCATGAATTTAAGTTGTCTTGTGGATATCAAAATTGCATGACAATGTCAATTTGAAAGAGATTCCGGCAAAAAAAAACAACTCCTATATTTTATAAAAAGAACGTGTTTTTAAATAAATCATGAATTTAATGCAATCAGGGATTTTATTTGTATCTTAAAAGTTGCAGAAGCACTTTGTTCCTATATGCACTGCCTTGAGTAGCCATAAGTTTCATTTCCACAGAAAATTTGCAAAAATTATAAACGGTTCAAGTCGGAACAAAGTGGTTCTGTCACATTTGTTTTAATTTCCTGACTACTCTTTTGAGGTTCAATTAAACTTTGGAAATTGGCAAATTTGTTTTTGCTGTAGTTTTCGGGGGGTTATTTATTATTATTTTTTTTTATTTTTTTTATTATTTATTTTTTCTCCTTATTGCCCCCGGCCCTAGTTTGATCTGTCCACAAAATGTTACTTTAAAAAAAATTAAAAAGGTGAAAACATGAAAAACGTTAGGTACTCTACCTTTAAATAAAAGTGCTTTATTAAATCACATAGTACAGGCCAACGCATTTCAATATTTATTATTATTTAAAGGTGATGTCAGCATTGTAAATCACTGTTAAAATAATGTATATATTCAGAAATATATTCTGACCATGAAACACTGTATTTGTCATATATACTATAGTACATCTAAAATATCCCTCCTCTTTGCATATCAACAACTGTAAGATTTGCTGGAGGAGAATCGATAATCCAACGAAGAGAGACCTCAAGGATTTTAATACATTTTCTACCAAGCAAAATTCCTCAAATGTCTTTTTCAGATAATGATCTCTTGCAAAATCAGAATACAGCGAAAAACAATGTGAGTTTCAATAGACTGTGTCATACCTTCCCATTTCCACACAGAAATCTCCCCTGAACGTTCCTGGCATTGAGTCGATCGGATTGGTCTTTCCCATCATGTCACGCCCAGTCTTGACAACATCTTGTCCCTGCCACACCTAGAAACCAGAAAAACTAACAATTTCTCAGTCATGTTTTTGAAATATTTCTTTACTATTAAATCTTACCATTGCCACAACCGGCCCTGAGCTCATGTAAGTCACCAGTCTGTTGTAAAAAGGCCGATTCCTGTGTTCCCAGTAGTGTTCTCTCAAAAGGTCCTTAGATGCCTGTCATAACAAAAACACAAGTTATATAGAACAATGCACACCTAATAAATATCAATATTTACCTTCAAAAGCTTAAAGCCCACTAGTTTAAACCCTTTCTTCTCAAAACGCTGGACAATCTCTCCCACTCGTTTCCTCTGCACTCCATCTGGTTTAACTGCAATGAAGGTGCGCTCTTTCACCCCGGTCCAGCCTAGAATCACAAATATTACATTAAATATCACACTTAAAAAGCCGTGAAATAGGAAAAACACATGGCAAAAGCACAGATAGCACACTGTTAAGAAAAGACAAGACAAACTCACATGCATACATTTGGAGTTGTGTTAAAAAAAAGTGACATTTTTACCTCTGCTGTTCCGCAACAAGTTTTACAAGTCAGGTGACTCTTGAAAGCATGCATCAAATGTATAGTTATATTCACTAGCAGTCCACACATTACAATAAACATTGAATGAGCCAGAAATGAGTCGTAGATTGTACTTGTTTGCTCACTGCTGCATGACTTAAATACAAGCAAAGCTGACTCCACACTCCTAATCTTAATCCATGTCACAAACTGTGCATAGCTATTGAGATATTCCGTGTTAGAATAACCACAAACAGTCCAATTCATTGTTAATAAAACAAAGTTACAGCAGGCACGAAGTAGCCTACGTAGTGTGTCAAGATCCAGATCCATGTAGCCCATTAGCTGCTGCTGCTGGAGTTTAGCATCAAGGCGAAAAGTTTGACATTATAAAACAGTTTATACAATTTTAAGAACATTTTCACATTTGATAAGGTATTTGGGTCGTGTGTGTACTAACCTGACTTAAACATGTGTGCAAATAATGAGAGAAAAACGCCCAGCATGGTCACGGAGCAGTGGAAAGCCGCGCACGTTGCAGACTTTCCGTAGAGAGCGCGATATGTTGGAAAGTTCCGACAGACCGCAAACACACCACCAGTGACCAGGCTTTTTTCTCAAGTTTATTCATGGAGGAGTTTATTATATTACGTGTTTTCTTACTTCTCAGTCTTGCAGTATTGAGTATTGCAATACACTGTAGTAGTTCCACACTTGACCAAAGGTCGAAGAAAAGCCCTCTAACTTCTGCCCCGTGTCATGAGGATTTCATTCATACAGATACCATGGATCATTTCTGGTCTGGCGCTGTGTGGACTCACGCTGCTGACGTCAGTGCATGTCTCCATGGTGACAGAAAGTGCATCTTTCAAAGTCAAAGCAACACTTTGCAAACTTCTGCTGAGCTGAAGCTGCATTTGAGCGCTTTCACACGACGATTTGTCCAGAAAGACTCCTCTAGTGTGTGCCATTCTCCCTGACCCGTGTCCTGACCAGCCTCTGACTCTGCCCACCAGGTTTTCACCAGGAATAAATGTAAGAAGACTATTCACTTTCTGTGTGGACGGACTTCCACTGGGTTTGACCGTGTTAAAGTAACTCACAGCAGCTTCCTTGAAGCCAAATATCCTTACTATGAACACAATGTTACGCACAGCTTGTTCAGAGAGCAGCCTATGTCATGGTGGTGTTCTGTGGAAACGCAGTGAGGAATGACCTCACTGGCCATATTGCATTTGGACATACAAAAGATTATGAATTAAAAAATAAAATAAGAAAAATAAAAGTTAAAGTAAAAAACTATTAAAAGAGCTAAAATCATAGAACGTATCTTCTGCCTGAAGGTGGAGCTATGACAGTCACGGTGGTGATAATCGGCTCTATACAAGGTAAAGAAACTCTGTAGAATTGATTTAAATGCCTTTTCATCTGGAAGAATAGAACAATGATATGAATGACCAGTGAGGTGGTTGCTCATGGTGTCGTTGGAGCCTGCTGTGTGTTGGACCATGGTCCTCTGCTGCTCATGGTGTTGTTGGAGCCTGCTGTGTGTTGGACCATGGATGGTTATTGTAATTCACACGCGCGTAAACTACTCTCCACGAGCATATTTCACACTACACCCGCGCGCAGACTCAGTATAATAAGCCATTAACGTGAACCTGGCCCCCCATCAATCGTTTGTGCTACGTTTGTGCTGTTTTGTGCTGTAAAATTTTTTGTTTGTGCTGTTATCGTTTTTGAGATATTGAGGATTCTTTTATAGGTCAATCTGAGGTCACCCAGCCCCTCATTTTGCTAAAAAATGCTCCAAAATGGACGAAAATAGTGTCATTTGTTTGTGCTACGTTTGTGCTGGTTTGTGCTGTAAAAATTTACGTTTGTGCTGTTATCGTTTTTAAGATATTAATTGCATTATTAGACGATGACGTCATCATACTCTTTCGAAAATGCGCAGAACTGACTGAGGCTATATCCACACGAAGACAAAACGCTTATAATTTCAGAAACTTTTTCTGTAAACACGGAGTTAGCTCAGTAAATGTGTGCGTCCATATGAATGTAGTCAATACGCCTGAAAACGCTGTGAAACTATGCCAGACCTGTTGGTGGCGCTGTGACGCAATGACGGGATCAAGCCCAAACTTCCGTGGGCATGCGCGGAATTTTGTAAACAGACAACATGGCGAGTGGGCGAGCTGGTACTACATTAGTATGGGCGGACGATGAGGTTGAACTGTTGCTTCGGGTCACACTGGATTACAAAACCAACAAGCTACATTGTTGTTGTCATTATTTCCTGAGTGCGGCGCATGCGTGCTTTAACAAGAGGCGGGGCGATGACGCAAGCGTCTCAGATACATTGCGGAGAGGCAGTAACCACGGAGCGGCATATACGGAGTTTTGAAATCTTTCCACTCTGGGACCTAGTTTCAAAAATGTTCGTTTACACCCCCCCAAAACGCCGGCCTCGTATGGACGATACACTGGATTGATAAAGTATTTTTGCGTTTAGGCCTGAGCTTGACTTCGTGTGGACAGGGCCTCAGAATGGTGTCTATCCTTTTGGCTTCGTTTATGTTGGCTTGTGCAGTCATCTGCAGGCGCGGCCCAGCCTATATTGCTATGTAATGCAATGTGTTTATGTTGTTAATAAAGAACTGATATAGTCCTTCTGGACTGCCACCTTAACATGGTGGGGGAGTTTGAGTACTCTGATGATCCTGGGAGCTATGCTGTCTGGGGCTTCATGCCCCTGGTAGGGCCTCCCATGGCAGACAGGTCTCAGGTGACGAGTCAGACAAAGAGCAGTCCAGAAGACACCATGGACAGCACTAACACGAAAACAGTGACGTTGCCCGGCATGGCGCAGCCGGGGCCCCACCCTGGAGCCAGGCCTGGGGTCGGGGCCCGTATGCGAGCGCCTGGTGGCCGGGCCTTAGCCCACGGGGCCCGGCCGGGCTCAGCCCGAAGGGATGACGTGGGCAGTCCCTCCTGTGGGCCCACCACCTGCAGAGGGGTCCGGGGTGAAGCGGTGCAGAGAGGACTGGGCGGCAGTCGAAGGCGGAGACCTCGGCGACCCAGTCCGCACACACAACATCTGGCTCTTGGGACGTGGAACGTCACCTCACTGGGGGGGAAGGAGCCCGAGCTCGTGGGGGAGGTTGAGCGATACCGACTAGAGATCGCTCAACCTCGCTCAGCCTCACCTCCACACACAGCTTGGGCTCTGGAACCCAACTCCTTGAGAGGGGTTGGACGCTCCACGTGTTGGAGTTCTCCCCGGTGAATGAGAGGGTCGCGTCCCTCCGCCTCCGGGTGGGGGACAAGTCTCTCATTGTTGTGACGGCCTACGGGCCTAACAGCAGTGTAGAGTACCCGGCCTTCTTAAGTAAGTAAGTAAGTAAGTAATGTTTATTTATATACCGCCTTTCACAGACCAGAGTCACAAAGCGGTTTACAATTGTTATTTTTTGGGCACTCCACACAGAGATGGGAGCGGGGTCGCCGAACAGGAGGGGTCGCCGAACAGGAGGCGCATGCCAGACCTATTGTACATATTTTTAGTGGTAGGGGAAACCGGAGCACCCGGAGGAAACCTACGCACACACGGGGAGAACATGCAAACTTCACTCAGAAAGGCCCTGGTCCGACCGGGATTCGAACCCAGGACCTTCTTGCTGAGAGGCGAGAGTGCTATCCACTCAGCCACCGTGCCGCCATCTCTTGGAGTCCTTGGGAGGGGTACTGGACGGTGCACCGCCCGGGGACTCCGTTATTCTCCTGGGGGACTTCAACGCCCATGTGGGAAACGCCAGTAACACTTGGAGAGGGGTGATCGGGAAGAACGGCCCCCCTGATCTGAACCCGAGCGGTGCTCAGTTGTTGGACTTCTGTGCCAGTCACGGTTTGTCCATCACGAACACCATGTTCGAGCACAAGGGTGTCCACCAGTGCACGTGGCACCAGGACACCCTAGGCCGGAGGTCGATGATCGACTTTGTTGTCGTATCATCTGACCTTCGACCGCGTGTCTCGGACACTCGGGTAAAGAGAGGGGCGGAGCTGTCAACCGATCATCACCTGGTCGTGAGTTGGATCCGCTGGCAGGGGAAGAAGCCGGTCAGACCTGGCAGACCCAAGCGTATAGTGAGGGTCTGCTGGGAACGTCTCGCTGAGCCCCCTGTCAGACGGACTTTCAACTCACACCTCCGGGAGAGTTTCTCCCAGGTCCCGGCGGAGGAGGGGGACATGGAGTCCGAGTGGACCATGTTCTCTGCCTCAATCGCCGATGCGGCGGCTCGTAGCTGTGGTCGCAAGGTCTCTGGTGCTGGTCCCGGCGGCAACCCCCGAACCCGGTGGTGGACACCGGCAGTAAGGGATGCTGTCAGGCTGAAGAAGGAGTCCTATCGAGCCATGATGGTTCGGGGGACTCCTGAGGCAGCTGTCCAGTACCGGCTGGCCAAGCGTGCCGCGGCCCGGGCTGTTGCAGAGGCAAAAACCCGGGACTGGGAGGAGTTCGGAAAGTCCATGGAGCATGACTATAGGTCGGCCTCGAAGAGATTCTGGCAAACCATCCGGCGCCTCAGGAGGGGGAAGCAGTTCTTTGCCAACACCATGTACGGTGCGGGTGGAGAGCTGCTGACCTCAACTGGGGATATTGTCGGGCGGTGGAAGGAATACTTTGAGGTTCTCCTCAATCCCCCCGTCACGTCCTCTGTTACAGAGGCAGAGGCTGAGGATGTTGGGGCGGGTACATCCATCTCCCTGGCTGAGGTCACCAAGGTGGTTGGTAGCCTCCATGGTGGCAAGGCTCCGGGTGTGGATGAGATCCGCCCTGATTATCTAAAGTCTCTGGATGTTGTAGGACTGTCTTGACTGACACGTCTCTGCAACATCGCGTGGCGATCGGGGGCAGTGCCAATGGAGTGGCAGACCGGGGTGGTGGTCCCTCTCTACAAGAAGGGGGACCGGAGGGTGTGTTCCAATTATCGTGGGATCACACTCCTCAGCCTCCCCGGTAAGGTCTACTCCATGGTCGATGGTCGAATCTCGGATCCAGGAGGAGCAGTGTGGTTTTCGTCCCGGTCGCGGAACACTGGACCAGCTCTATACTCTCCATCGGATACTCGGGGGTTCATGGGAGTTCGCCCAACCTGTCCACATGTGCTTTGTGGATTTGGAGAAGGCGTTCGACTGTGTTCCCCGGGGTGTCCTTTGGGGGGTTCTCCGGGAGTACGGGGTCGGAGGTCCTCTGCTGAGGGCCATCCGATCCCTGTATGACCGGAGCCAGAGCTGTGTTCGCATTGCCGGCAGTAAGTCAGACCTGTTCCCGGTGAATGTTGGCCTCCGACAGGGCTGCCCTTTGTCACCGTTTCTGTTCACTGTATTTATGGACAGAATATCTAGGCGCAGCCAGGGGTCGGAGGGGGTCCGGTTCGGAGACCACAGGATTTCATCTCTGCTGTTTGCGGACGATGTTGTCCTGTTGGCTCCAACGAACCAGGACCTGCAGCATGCACTGGGACGGTTTGCAGCCGAGTGTGAAGCGGCTGGGATGAGAATCAGCACCTCCAAATCCGAGGCCATGGTGCTCGACCGGAAAAAGGTGCCTTGCCCTCTGCAGGTGGGTGGAGAGGTCCTTCCTCAAGTGGAGGAGTTCAAGTATCTCGGGGTCTTGTTCACGAGTGAGGGAAGAATGGAGCGTGAGATTGACAGGCGGATCGGTTGCAGCGTGCGCAGTTATGCGGTCGCTGTATCGGACCGTTGTGGTGAAGAGGGAGCTGAGCCGAAAGGCAAAGCTCTCGATTTACCGGTCAATCTTTGTTCCCTTCCTCACCTATGGTCATGAGCTTTGGGTAATGACCGAAAGAACGAGATCGCGGATACAAGCGGTCGAAATGAGCTTCCTCCGCAGAGTGGCTGGGCGCTCCCTTAGAGATAGGGTGAGGAGCTCAGTCACACGGGAGGAGCTCGGAGTAGAACCGCTGCTTCTCCACGTTGAGAGGAACCAGTTGAGGTGGCTCGGGCATCTGTTCCGGATGCCTCCTGGACGCCTCCCTGGGGAGGTGTTCCGGGCACGTCCCACCGGGAGGAGGCCCCGCGGAAGACCCAGGACACGCTGGAGGGACTATGTCTCTCAGCTGGCCTGGGAACGCCTTGGGGTCCCCCCGGACGAGCTGGAGGAGGTGTGTGTGGATAGGGAAGTCTGGGCGTCTCTGCTTAGACTGCTGCCCCCGCGACCCGGCAACGGATAAAGCGGAAGAAAATGGATGGATGGATGGATGATATAGTCAAAGCATTTGTCATTATTTAATTAACACTACAACACATGCTTTATTTTTTCTATACCATTGGGAGGCGCTAACCATTAAGTTTACCCGCTAAAATTTGAAAATTTTCCCTCAAAGAACTAATTAAGCAGCTGCATTTTAACTTCAAATACGTATTTAGGTAGTTCTCTTTTAATTGTACCCTTACAGTATGGACCTTTGCATATTCTGAAGATCAACGTAAGTAATTACATTTTATGTTTAAACAATTTTGCTAGCTTTTTTTTTTGCTAGGCAAAAAATGTGAAATACTGTACAGAATTCATTAAAACATTTTAAAGTCCAAAAATAAAATGAATGCATTTCATAACTGTATACATTGCTTCAATTATAGTGATGACAAAATCCACAGAAATAAACTGAAAAAGTAAACACTTTATACATAAGACAATTCATAAGAGAATATTTAAAGTTTTAGAGCAGGTCAGATGCACACAGAGCAATATTAAAAAAAAATTTAAACAGGTTTTGGAAGAGTTCAGCTGTATATTCTGTGAAACATTAAGATGAACCTTTCAATAAAATGGCATAAAAAACAACATTACTCCAGTTTACATAAGGTGATTTAATTATTATTTTTTTTACTAGATGCCAAAAAATCCAGGAGTGGCCACACATGCTGTTATTGCCATCCTCTCAACATCAAAAGAGGCTATATTAATAAATGGAAATTGCTAAACCTGCTGAACAAATCTGGACAGAACTCAGCCATCAACTTGATGAGAGAATGTCTGCCAAGGCACTGTATACCTTTGTAAAACAAAACAGGCACAACATCTGGACCATTTTGGGTCTGAGTGACACCAGTGCATCTGAAAATAGTGAAGATGAGCCACCAGCCGATCAGCATAGTGACAGTGATGGCATACTTTTCAGCAGACTTTTCAGCTGTTGGTGCCATTTGAGAAATGGGTAGAGTTCATGCCGGAGAGCGTCAACTATGCCAACAGAAAATACAACATATTAAAACCAGGCACTTGGACTCATGTCATGAATGAAATATTATGGAAAGAGGTGAAACATACCTGTACCTTTGTATTTAAAAGGGCAAAGGTTTATCCCA